TGAAAAGATTCCGGAGGCACAAGCAGGATTATTCTACCACAGAAAAAAGTATTTACATTGTAATGTCTCATTCAGAAGTATATTTCTAAAGGTGGTGGTCGTTTTCATTGTTTGTTTCGAAAGGCTTTCGATTTTGTTGATAGGACATTACTTAGGTAGTCACCTTTCAGGCAAGGGATAAGAGGAAAATATATTTCAGTTTTAAGGGATATGAATTCTAAAATCTTGGTTTCAGTTCGACATTCGCATTCGGCAATTGGTGGATATTTTTAATCATTGAGTGACGTACGTCAGGATTGCATTTTAAGTCCGTTTCGTTTTGCAATGTTTTACAACAGAATTACAGGGTATGCTGCAGAATTCAGATCGAAAGGGTATCTTTGTTGGGTCAGATTATGTTGATTTACTTCTGTTGTTGTATGCCGAAGATCTCAATTTATTTGATGATACTGTGATAGGTTTACAGAGAAAGATAGGTATTTTACATAAGTATTGTAGCTCTTGAGGTCTGGAGATTAAGATGGATAAGACAGGGGGTTTGGTATTTCGCAATGGTGGTTTTCTTCGCTCTTATGAAAAATGGTTTTACAATAGCATTCCAGTTAAAACATCAACATACTATAGTTACCTTGGTATTCTATTTCTACTCGGTTGTCCTGGACAAAGTGCACACATACACTAGTTGGTAAAGCCTGTAAGGCATATTTTTCTGAAGGTATTGTTTTAACAAACATATTATATGACTGTTCGCTTTATGTTCAAATTATTTGATAGTAAGGTTAAACCAGTGTTATTATTTGGCTCTGAAATTTGGGGATTTGAGGAAAGGAAATCGATTGAATTATTTCACACTAATGTTTGTAAATATGTCCTTGGTGTTGGAAAGCATGTCCCTAGTAATGATATTGTGGTAGATCAAATATTTATGTGAATTATTACGTAAGGTGCTTTAGCTATTGGTGCAAGTTGTTAACGATGTCCGAGGATCATTATCCTAAACAGTCGTATTTACTTATGAAGAGATTCGGCTGGCAGAGTGACTTGACAATGTTTTCCAGTTTGCTTCCCTTTTTAAGAATAGACTTCTTGATTGTGATAAACTACGTATCCTTATTAAAATAAGTGAATCTCTCCATCTAGGATGTTTTAAAGAAGTTAAATCAATGTTAAATTTTAATTATTTTGTTACTTCCATTAATAACACAGTAATTAGAAGAAATAAATGTTTAATTAGACTACATGCACTTCCAATGAGATGTAATATTAGAGGTATTAATTTAGATAAGTAAAAGGTGTCTGCGTCTCGAATGAAGATAAAATTCACTTTACCTTAGAATGTACAAAATATAATGTTATTAGAGATAAGTATTTTCTATAGTGTGGACAGGATAGCATACTGACTAAATATCTTCATTTCATTAGCAGCAATTGTACACATGCATTTTTTAACGTTTCGAAATTTATTAAAGAAGCTCCTGCTGTTAGAAAATCTGTTACATCTTCTGTAATAAGTCAACTGCGTTTTTCTCTTTATAATTTTGCTACTCTTTATATTGTAAACTATTTTCTTATTGTACATGGGCCAATGACCTATAAAACCGAAATAAAATGAAGTGAATTGAATATGTTGCATTTGATCACTTATAATGAAAATAATATTAAAAGGTATTCTGTAATTTAATTTACCGTTCGTTTTCTTACAAACTAAGATAACATTGAAGCATGTTTTATAAACATATGTATTATTCAAGTATGTTTTGTTTATCACCGTTCAATAGCAACCACAGACTGGGCTAAAGATAAAATGCTTCAACCTCAATGCTATCCACCTGCTATCATTCGATAACACAAGTACACCCTCGGCCTCGTGTAATGATTCAGTATTCCAGTAAAACCAGTCACTGAGTGTAATGTGGTATATATCATATCTCGGATGAACTCACTCACCTCTTAACAGAAAGTTATCGGTATTCTCCATTGTAGACATTGTCAAAATGATAGGGTTTTCGACGTAACGAGCGAACACATTGACCATTAGGCTACTCTTTGACAGTATTTTCATCGTGACTGTTTCAAATCAAGAAGAGACATATTTTGGCTTGGTGAGGCTTTTGTTATTTTTCATTAGTTGATTTGAAAATCTATGAAAGCGAACTTGATTCCAATCTACAACTCGACGCGCTCGAAATATCATATTTGCACAATACTTTTTGTATGTCTCAATATATTAATGCGATTTCTTTCTGAAACAGTTAGGACATCAGACATGGTGTGAATCTCGATTGTATTTCATTTCATCCAGTATGCTTAAACACTTCTTAATATACTAGTATCTGTATGAAATTCTCTTGTGTGGTGTGAGATTCCGCTACAGAGTGAGTGAGTGAGTTTGGTTTCACGCCGCACTCAGCAACTTTCCAGCTATATGGCGGCGGTCTGTAAATAATCGAGTCTGGACGAGACAATCCAGTGATCAACAGCATGAGCATCGATCTACGCAATTGGGATTGACACGTGTCAACCAAGTCAGCCTACCCGCCCGAACCCATGAGTCGCCTCTTATGATAAGCATGGGTTGCTGAAGATCAATTCTAACCCGGATCTTCACGGGTTGCCGCTAGGGCCACCTGCAGCCTGTGGCCGTCAGCCTAATGTGCTTCAATTGTTTATATGCGACAATGATCTATTTGAATACAACTGGAACAGTTGGATAAAGAGCCGCACGATGCAATGAATATAATCCTCAATGGGAGTTACTCAAGTGCCTTTCATCTACATCCCCCTGTGCCCATCTGTAATATAGTGATGATCTGTGCCAATTTCTCCTATCATCAAAAATCCACCTGTGATATAAAATTATCAAAGAACAATAGTTGAGAACATTCACCTACGTTGTTGGGGTACAATCAGACATGTGATATATGTTACGAGGGACGTTCACAAAGTAGTCTGCCTCACCCAGAAAATGATATAAATGCAGCTGTTTGTATCATGTATCTTTCTACATATGCTCTGTCAACCTCAAGCAAATTGGTTTTGCCATGTCCAGCCCCACGATCCCCAATTTGATTGAATTTTTATCTTGCAAGTGTCAGCTCTCAATATGTAACATTTGTAAACAGGGCCAGTTTGAATATCTGGGGAAAAAAAGAGCCCCTGTCTAAATATAAATCATGCAATCCATAACTTTGAATGTTGATTATAACGGGAAGTCATCCAATACTATACTGAACATATCTTAAATGACATTATCTGAGGGCATACCATTATCCAAAAGTTAGCAAATGACAGATCGTTTTTCATTTTCTGCAAATATTTAAAGAAATATTGTACCCCAGTGTGTTGTGATGACTAATATCTCGTTAACCACATTATCCACATATGTGAAATTTGGAACATGACTTTGCTAATGATTCCTTCAAAATAAATGGAAGCTTTTCTAAAATTGGACATCAGGAATATAGTTAGGCCGACTACTTTTTGAACGTCCCTCTTAAAGGTAGCACAATTCGGATCTCTCTTGTGTTTAAAACCTATATCAAACTAAAAGCGGTCGCACGTTTGAATTTATAGTGGGTATGAATAAGACAGGAGTCTCCAAGGTTATGCTTGTTATAAGCTTTGTCTAAACGTGTACAGCTTTAACAGAACCCATGATACATGAAATTGCAAAACGTTGATTTTTTTAGTGACCGTATCTTGTCTGTTGGTTCCCGGTAATGATGTGTATGGGGCTAGCAATCCAATGGCCCGACGGCATTCTCATACACGGACTAAACTGTAGAAAAGGTAACTCTCAAACATCAACAAGGAGATGAAAAGGTCAATAAATGATATTTGACCTGATTACAAACACCATCAAATATTGCATCAGTATTACCTGCTTATCGATTCGCGTATCTGGCATGGCAGTGTGTCATTGACGATGTTTCCCGGCCAAAAGCCGATATAGCACGCACGTGTTTATCCATTACAACCAGTATCTTGCACACTGACTAACATGCAAGCCAGTCCGCTAAATACGCATAAACAAAACAGATCACTAAACATGCAGGTGTAAATCCAGCACAACCAGTAACTTACACACCGACTAACACGCAAACCAGTCCGCTAAACGAGCAGCAGTTTGGCACCGCTGCAGGCACCACACTCACATTCACACCCGACATCAATACTATATGCTACCAATGAAGGGGATTCAGTTATAATTGTTCTGTGCCAAGTCCACATGGGATGAGGAAACGTTATTTCTCAATGGGGAATAATCTCTCAGACTCATGTCTCGGAGGCTAAAACTGAAATGTGGTATATATCTTAAGTTTTTCAATATTCTCCATTGTATACATTGTAAACAGGACAGGAAAACCAACCCGAGTTTCCCGAGCGAACGCAACTCATTGACAGCATTTCCCTCGTGACTGATTCCAGTCTACAACTCAAGGCGCTCGAAATATCATATACTCATGCCAATAATGGTTGTCACCCACCCCCGACCCTCAACACCCCACCCCCACCCCTCACCCACCAATCCAAAAATTTTTTTTGAAGGGGTGACAACCATTATTGGCATGAGTATATTTGCACAATATTTTTTGTATGTCTCAATATCTTAATGAGATTTCTTTCTGAAACAGTTATGACATCAGACATGGTGTGAATCTCAAATTTATTTCATTTCATCCAGTATGCTCGAACACTTCTTAAAATATACACAAAGAACTTATTTAAGAACACCCTGTATTTTTGCATCAAATTGCAAAACGTTGATTAGTTGACTATAGTGAACGTATCTGGTCTGTTGGTTCCCGGTAATGGTGTGTATTGGTGTAGCATTCTCATACACGAACTAAACTGAAGAAAAGGTAACTCTCAAACATCAACAAGGAGATGAAAAGGTCAATAAATGATATTTGACCTGATTACAAACATCGTGAAAGATTGCATCAGTATATTACTTGCTATCTGGCATGATATTGTGTTATCTCCAACGTCAATACACACATGCCGGCGTAGGCATATATACTGGGCCTGTCTGACGCTCAACGTGGTAGTCTATACTGCTCTAACATGGGTGTTCTTAGGACGTTAGTATTGTTAGTCCTGGTATACACATGCAGCGGTGAGTATACCTACCCTGTGGACGACACACCCGGACTAGGCCGGGTATTTGATGGTATTGGTGCCATCAGCGGAGGAGGGGTGAGTATGTGTTACGTGTGACCTTGTGTGGTTGATGACTGTTTGACTGGTGGCTTTGCTTGCATGCAGACATGATAAGTGGAAAAGAATGTTTAATTAATTTTTGTTTGACTGTTTGACTAATGATTTACTCTACAGTCAATGAACAATATTTGTGTCCTATTCCTACAATTTGACAGTATCGGAATGTTTTGTTAATTTCAGGCTACATCCAAACTCTTGGTCGGCTACCCACAACAACAAAGAGATGAAATCCTGGATTTCTTGTTTACCGTAAGGATTAAACAATTTATCAAATTTACCTAGTGAAACAAGTTTCCGTTATAGGTCTTTAATACATTATCGTATTGTACTTCAATAATGTTGAATGGAAATTAATATACAAGAAATCTAAATCTATCGCTTGCTAAGTTATCAAAGATATTATCTTAACATTATCAATATTTCAATGAAACAAAACTTATAAAACTATAAAATAACTACATTTTCAATTAACCCTTTCAGCCAAACTTTGGAGCATCACTTCATATTTTCAAAGTTGAGATTGGAGGTGATGCCCAGAGCTCAGGTAAGACTTTCTGACGGAGACATATTTGTAAAACCAAATTCATGAAAATGCCAATAACTGAATTTTCAATACTATTATATCAATAATCCCTCACAAGTGTACATATGCTTGACATGTGTTTTGTTCCCAGAGGGCACGGAGGCCACACACATGAGGAGCCCTGATGACCAGAACTACAACAGGGGCTATGAATGGTGGATGATGAAAGAAGCCAAAAAGGTAAGCTGGACTTGGTTGCACTCAGGATACCCTCCTCGATATTTGTGATACCTGTCACACCCAGTATGTCTAACCCTTAGAGCTGATAAGTAGTATCCGTTTTTGAGTGGCACACGTGGTAGCCAGATGGTATCGAAAAGTCAAAGAGAATTATCAAACATATGTTTATCTCGTCCTGAGCAAAGATTCACAAAATGGTCTTAGGGCTACGGTGATCGTAATCCTATAAACTCAGCCCTTCACACTTGCCGCACTGTATCTATGGATTCTATTCTCTAGTTTCTTACACCAGCGTAATATGTCATGAACCTGCTACCCCCAGCAACCTAGTTACCTTCCCTGTAAAGAATGTATACCTTAGTTTACCGTGGCTATAATCACTTTCCTACCTGTTATATTGCCAACTGTCAAGGTAGGGTTTGCACAAAGTACTTGCTTGAGAGCCTGTTCACTATACTATACACATTACTTCATGGATAGACAAGGTAGGGTTTGCACAAAGTACTTGCTTGAGAGCCTGTTCACTATACATGTACACATTACTTCATGGATAGGCAAGGTAGGGTTTGCACAAAGTACTTGCTTGAGAGCCTGTTCACTATACTGTACACATTACTTCATGGATAGGCAAGGTAGGGTTTGCACAAAGTACTTGCTTGAGAGCCTGTTCACTATACTATACACATTACTTCATGGATAGGCAAGGTAGGGTTTGCACAAAGTACTTGCTTGAGAGCCTGTTCACTATCATGTTTACACATTACATTCATGGATAGGCAAGGTAGGGTTTGCACAAAGTACTTGCTTGAGAGCCTGTTCACTATACTGTACACATTACTTCATGGATAGGCAAGGTAGGGTTTGCACAAAGTACCTGCTTGAGAGCCTGTTCACTATACTGTACACATTACTTCATGGATAGGCAAGGTAGGGTTTGCACAAAGTACTTGCTTGAGAGCCTGTTCACTATACTGTACACATTACTTCATGGATAGACAAGGTAGGGTTTGCACAAAGTACTTGCTTGAGAGCCTGTTCACTATACTGTACACATTACTTCATGGATAGGCAAGGTAGGGTTTGCACAAAGTACTTGCTTGGGAGCCTGTTCAGTATCATGTATACATTACTTCATGGATAGGCAAGGTAGGGTTTGCACAAAGTACTTGCTTGAGAGCCTGTTCACTATACTGTACACATTACTTCATGGATAGGCAAGGTAGGGTTTGCACAAAGTACTTGCTTGAGAGCCTGTTCACTATACTGTACACATTACTTCATGGATAGGCAAGGTAGGGTTTGCACAAAGTACTTGCTTGAGAGCCTGTTCACTATACTGTACACATTACTTCATGGATAGGCAAGGTAGGGTTTGCACAAAGTACTTGCTTGGGAGCCTGTTCAGGCTATCACTTATACTATACATTACTTCATGGATAGGCAAGGTTGGGTTTGCACAAAGTACTTGCTTGAGAGCCTGTTCACTATACATGTACACATTACTTCATGGATAGGCAAGGTAGGGTTTGCACAAAGTACTTGCTTGAGAGCCTGCTCACTATACTGTACACATTACTTCATGGATAGGCCATTTTGGGTTTGCACAAAGGACTTGCTTGCAAAGTGTACAGACATTACTTGACGGAGGAATGTAAATCTAAAATTTGCTTTGCTTTTGTTGTTGTGTAATAGTACTGATGACATACCAGGTTTGACTTCAAGGAACTGTTTTCAAATTTGATTATGTCTGCTTAATCATCACTCAGCCCTGCAACAGGTGTGTAATAAGTAACCTGATAACAATAATAGAATTATTTGCATCAGCTGAAGGGTATCTTAGACATCTTATCTTTGAAAATATATATTATGCATTAATTTCTTTCCCTAATCATCATTACTTATTATGTCATCCTTCTACAATCTATTTACTGAAAATATTTGGTCAGAAACCATGTTGTAAGTGTATTCCATCACTATTACCACTATTAGATACAGAGATAAAGTATGCAAAACATATTCAAAGATATTCGTTGTATGATGGTGATGTGTGAAAGTGTATTGAGTATATTGATGTGAATGTATTCTACATACATGTGCTCAACTGTATATTACACTGTGGAAATAATGATGGTAAAAACAAATATATTAAAATAATTACTTATGTTTATTATTTTAAAATGTTTAAATAAAATCACATCTTAGAACACAAAACCATGTGAAATTGTGTTTATGTGTTGATTAGGCACCCATTTCATTTTTCTTCATTCAACTCTAATTAAAGACATAAGCTACTGAAAATCAAACATGAGATAACGTCAACTGTGAAGTGTAATTTCTTTCCTTCCTCAGTTAAAATGCATGTATATATCATTTCAGCGTAACCCTGACATCAAGCTGTACGGACTCCCGTGGGGGTTTCCTGGCTATCTTGAAGACCCCATCAACAGCGTGTATGGTCAGCCAGAACGTACAGCGCAGTATATTGCCAATTGGGTCATTGGTGCCAAGAAGTTCCACAACCTGACAATAGATTACGTTGGGGTATCACACTTTATCTGCGTAGCTTTAGTGCCTGTTCTAATGTCTGATTACATTAATGAAGCATATAACATTATATACAAATGTTTAGCAGACAGAAACTCTAGACTTGTAACGTGTAATATAGGTAACATAGTGAAAATCCTTTATTGCAAGTTAAAACGCGTGTTTGGTGATTCGGCTTAATCGTCATTTTGGGGGCTAAACTATCTCTGAGACATCATTACTTGGGGAGTAAGTGAGTATGGTTTTACGCCTCTTTTGACAATATTCCAGCAATATCACGGCAGGTGGAGCCAGAAATGAGCTTCACGCATTGTGGAATCGAACCCGGGTCTGTATAAATGAATGGAGTATATGTTGATATAGGGAAACCTATATAATTGGATATAATCGTGGGTAGCTACTTATGACACATACATTACCTAGAAGTTTATGAAAGGGATGTCGTAGTAACCAGATGGGGAACTGTCAGTCAGCTTGTCAGTCAACTATAAGAGAGCATACTTTTTTGTCAACATGTGAAACATAATTATCCATTGCATCGTAACGTTTATACCTGTACTATCCTGTCATCCCAAATATTCTCTTGCGGCATAAAAAATAATGACGTAGAAATAGTGACAAAAGACTATTGAATAATGAAACGAAACGCACAGAAAACAATTGATTACGATTTAAGTTAATGTGGAAAGTAATTATACAAGTATTATACAACTTTCATTTGTGTAATTAATAGTTTGATCTACTGCTATATCGCAGTCTTCTAGTTTAGTGTAAGTATTACGTTGTTTGACTATGATGATGAATGTTTGACTATGAACATGCTACGTTATCTTGTTTGCTATTTTATTTATTTCAGTGTTGGAATGAACATCTATACAACACAACGTATATAAAGGTGAGTTTTTAACTTATAAATAACAACGATTGGTATCTTTTGCTTTAGAAAATGTGTTAAATACCAATGAACAGAACCGATGAAACCCCTTCAGCACCTATAAGAAATGTCGGTTTAAAATTCCGACTATGTCATGGGTAAGTGATCATGAATCTCTGTCAAGTATAAAACCATGTGTTTGCGAAAAGGTAAGCATATCGTGCCCATTGGTGGCACCCGTCACAAATGCCAAGTCAATTATACACCTGAAGTTCGGGAATGGTGGTAGATGTCAAAATATGGAATTGTTTCGGAGATTATCTTTGTCCCTGACGTGTCAGCCTTTCAAACTCCCCCCACCTGTCTACCATAAAACTATGAGAAAGCTTTACAGAAGCCTTTAATGTTAAAGCCAAGAGTAGTGTCACGCTCTTCGAAATCGTCGTGAAACGAGTATTCTTGATTGTACCTCAAATGATCACACCAAAGGCTGGAGCTGTTGGAAAATTGCTCTACATGAAGGGATATTTAACTATTGGAAAGTTGAAATCATTACTTTTGTCATATTGCCTTGTGGAGAGTTTGTGTCTCTCTGAATCAAATAATGGAACACACAAGGCGGTCTCACTTGTCTATAAGTTCAGGTGGGTAAATCAGTGGAAAGGAATAGATTAGTGAACGGCATTAGATCACTGATATACGTGAATCCTAGTGAAGCTTCGTGGCTATATTATTATGTCCATACATTATTTCGAAGTTAGGGCCCCGATAATGTAACCACTGTCTTGTTCAACAGGTGTTGAGGAAAGTCCTTGACAACAATGGCCTCCAAGACACGCTCATCGTAGCTGCAGATTACTTCCAATGGGACGACTTCGCAACTGATATTTTAAATGATCCTGAACTTGACAAAGCCATCTATGCCATGGGGTATGTGTTGACATTGGTTGTTTCAACTGTTTTATGATGAAGAAACAAACCTTACGTCTTACCGGTAATAGTCCAAGAGCGAAGCCATTAAGAATTTGCTGCTTGAATGCAAACAATTTTAAGGGTAATCATTTGTTGCATTTCAAGCCCACCATTTCATAGTTCGTGTATAAACTGTTTCTTTTCCTGCAGTCTACCGTTAACCCTCAAACCAGAACCATGCATGTATAATTTAAAGGAGGTATATATTCGTTATGAGTGGTTTAACGTTAATGTTATTTCAGAGTACACTATCCACACACTAACAGTTCTTCCCTGGCTCAAAAGTTGGGCAAACCTCTGTGGGCATCGGAGGATACATCTGACAAAGGCGACGCTGTAAGTACATGTCTCACAGTAATGCACTACTGTGATATGACAACGAACAATCTGTCACGGAATGTATCATTTTCACGCATCGGGCAGCATTGGTCCCAGTACCCAATGCCTGTCGGGGAGGCCTTTTAATGTACATTATAACATTACTGGCTGTCATACTGGCATTGATTGGTGCTCATGCTTTCAAACATTGCTTTTATCCAGATATTATGTACATGTACCTGTCATGTGCTAATAGTTTGCTGCATGCGGCATTGAACAACATTCAACCACTACTTATCTGATTAAGACCTTTTATCCATGGATACACTACAAAAGTGAATGTGCGATTCTATATATCGAGATTGATATTTTGTAAATGTGACGCTTATATGGGAATACTTGTCCTGTAGCGTTTCTATCTTTGTTATCATGAGGAACAGTACCTCATTTGTAAAGATATTTATTTGAAAAGCACAAAATATTTGCACAATATAAAAAAATAATTTGACAAGCTGGTTTCTTTACAAAATGTATTACTGGATAAACTTTGTAAAACATATCTACGTATACCTTCCAAGTTGATTGTGTATTTTATGGTTCTTAAGGGTGAACAAATATAATTCCTCGTTGATACTTCTCTGAAGGGAATATAATGGAAACAGGTAGATCGTTGGTCAATTCTTCGTTTCAGAACTGGAATCGAGACTACGTAAACGGGTACATGACAAGGTAAGCCAGATAATGTAAATATATACCCAATTTACAACTGTTACACAATCCGTTGGAAATAGTTTCAATTAAAAGGCATCTTTGCGAAAACTGAATACAGAATACGGTTTCGTTTCTTCATTGCGAGGCTATCAAGTGATATGTATGTTACCCTAAGCTTCCTCTGTTTGTTTCCTTCTCAACCTAGCACCATCGTGTGGGCGGCTCTGTGTAGCTGGTACTCCTTCCTGCCTCACTTCCCGTCGGCACTTATGCTGGCCAATGAACCTTGGAGTGGACATTATGAGACCTTTGATTTCCTATGGCTTGCAGGTCAGTATTGATTTCAACACCCAATCAATGTTAGTTGGGTTCTTATATATATTATTGTCGTGTTCATGATAACACTTAACGGGGGTCAGTTATACCGATGAAACTGGGTGATTGGGTCTCAGTGCACAAACTGAACTGTTCATGAATTGTTTGCTATTGGATATTCCAAACACCGAATTAAGAGTTTTTTAAGAGTTTATGACGTCAGAATCACAATTGTTGCAGCTCATACTGGCCAGTTTACCAAGCCCGGATGGACCTACCTGAAGCACGGGTACGGGGTGGGGAAGCTGGTTAAAGGAGGCAGCTATGTCTCTCTGATCAGTCCGGACAAGAAGGACCTTACAATCATCATTGAGAAAATGGTGAGGCCGTATAAACAAAGTAAATCAGAATCACATATTTTCTTTTACAGAAAGTTTATGAAAACCTCTTTCTCAAATCTGACATCCTTTTATTTTGATATTAAAGGTATTGATTCTTTCAAGTGACCTTGAATAGGTCTTGTGTTTGTCGTTTTCTTATAAGGTTTATAGAGTCTTTCATTATTGCAGCATCAAGATGACGGCCCTGCAGATATAGAGATGGAGAACATCACATTTCAAATCAAAGGGACATTTGTAAGTCTTAGTGGAACCTGTGAAAACACTTTTAAAAACATGTTTTCATATGTGGGTATACTGTTTATACCCCCTGTAAGCGCTTACCAGATCCAGAACTTCCTCACATGCATGTAAACATTAAACCATTATCTAGATCGTCTTGGTTTTATCTACCTTCTCTTCAGCCGTTGATTCCTGAATTGTTGTTTGTTTATTTGTTTGGTTTTTTTGGTTGTTTTGTTTTGTTTTGTTGTTTTGTTTTGTTGTTGTTGTTGTTGTTGTTGTTTTTTGTGTGTGTGTGTGTTGTTTTGGGTTTTTTTGTAATTTGATGTGTTAGCACACACGTCTACTGCTTACATCAATATCTCAAAGAAACACTCACTTTGCGATTGTTACCAGCAGTTTTTATTAATATACAGTGTTTGTGTATCGATGATCAAGATGAGCATGATATATCTTCACAGGCAGGTATCACCCATCTCAACAGTTGGAAAACATACATCTCCTCTTATCCGGGCGATTATCAGAATTTCTTTAAACAATTTCCAGTTCAGGTAATTAATACATATTTCACTTTTGGTTGGTGAAGAAATATCTGAAGTTTTTTCTGCCTCTCCAGTTTCATTTTCACATTTAACGTTTTCATTTTTTGCGGCAATGTTAGCTTTTCTTCTCATGGATCCATGTTAAAAAATTGAAAGAGTAGCTGATAGGACCCATATCTTAATGTTCATTATTAAAGGATATATTCTATCCATTCTGAAAATGACAGTTTTGAATAATGTTTGACGGAAGGTATTTTCCATTGAATATCATGCAATTGAAATGTAACCATATAAACAGGTTGTAAATGGAATCTTCAATCTGACTATCTACCCGGAAACTACCTTCACCTTGACGACGTTGACGACCGGACATAAAGGGGAACCCCCGAAGCCCCCAGCTTCCGCCCCGTTCCCACTGTCACATGCGGAGGACTTTGAACGTAAATATACTGTAAACAATTAATAACTCTACAGTCGTGGATTGGAACTGGTTTCATGACATATGGAACATCTAACGTCAAAGGCATGTTAAGTATTTGTCATTTGGTTAAGGAACTGCCAGAAGCTTATAGGTATCGCTTTCCGTTGGAAACTTCAGTACCTACCGATACGTCAATAAACGAGGTTTGATGAATTTCCTGTAAATTCACCTTAACATATAGTTCACAGGGGGTTTTTTAAACTTGGAATAAGGTTTTATGTGTATGTTATAAATAGAGATTATTACACGAGCAAGTGTGTCATACGAGTGTGAAATTTTGTATTGACCTAGCGAGGCAAGAGTGATATGTGTACATGTACACATATGATATCTATGATACTGGTTATGTTATGTTTGGGTAATAAACAGAGTTATCATACATTAGTTGCACACGTAATACTGTGGATACGGTGCGCTATTTGACCATGTGTTTGACAAAAGGTTATTGGAACCACAGGGTGGTTTTCTTTATAAATATCGTTTTTACATTTCTATCCTAAGTGCCTTACCTGGATACAGATGAGTAGACGTTCTCAAGAGTGCAGGTTCAATTTATAGCCGTAATTGTATCAGTTAAGACATATGTCTGGATAAGTCTTCATTTAATTTTCGAATATTGAAACATCATGGTGAATATGGAAAATTTAATAAACTGAAATATATTTTTAATAATTTAGAGTATCAGGTGGGTGAAGAGCCCTACATCCTGGCCCCACAGACTGGGTCATTTGAGGTCATGGACGTTGGAGGCAGTCATGGAAAGGTCATGCGACAGATGACCTTGCAGCGACCTGTGACATGGTGTCAAGCAGATTATATTGAGATGGGTGTCAAGCAGATTATATTGAGATGGGCGTGGTAGCTCAGTCTAAATATTGACTGACTGGCTCGTAATTATTTTTCATTGTCATACTACGAAGTATAGTTTGTGGGGAATCCAAAATTGGTGACGAGCCAAGCTTTAACCACTAGGCTACCCAACCGCCCCCAGTCTAAATGAAGACATCATTGATTAAGTTCTCTCCTTTGAATGTTGATTTCGGTAAATCATTCTTCATCGTCCAGTGTTCCTGTTTTAGGGGCGATGTCGTCCTTGACTGTGACATTAAAGTGCAATCCGGTGCGAATGCTTCTAAGGGAGCCTTCATCGCCGCTCGTCTGGATCAAGGAGGATGCTGGTTGACAGAGACAAAGGGTGTCTTCTTCTTCATTTTCCCACAGAGCAACATATTCATGGTCACTACTGGATTTGGTATGTTAACACCAAGATATTGTTTTCATTGTCCTGACATGACAGTTGGCTACGGATTAGTCCCATGTACAGATGCATTGATAATATCTATTGAGTGTGTCGTGGTACTTGGGGCTCCGTGGTTGAAATATTACTGGACAGAGATGTGTCCCATGAGTACGAAACAATGTTAACGTTTCAACATCCATCGCTTAAATTTTGACTCTCTTCCCACATCAAGTTGACACCCCGAGATATAACAGTACATTTTCCAGGTTGCTTAGTTTTGTAGGTCTTCATCAGTGGTAGTATAGTATTGATATTACTCCATTCTTTAACACAAGTTATGGTCGGTTTGGTCAGACATTGCAAACAGGTAGCCCTAACTTAGGCTGCTCCCTGAAACAATTTGACTTTTCACTTTCGGACTGCCAGATAGTGTTTTCCTGGTAGATTCACAATTCGCGATATACCTCACTCACAAGACTGCCATAATGTGCAAATACATCAATATTCAGTTTGTTTTCAAATATACATACATTAGTGGGTGTGGTCCAATGCATAGAGCCCAGGTCACAAATCAGGTGAAGTAACGATGCTCGGAGAGCCCTTGGATGGATGGCTGACTGTGTTTAGCAGCTTGACGCCTGAGAGTTTAGTAGGACTTCTGTCCTGCCCCACAACGAAGCATACGTGACGATGGATGTTGAAACGTTCGGACAGCAGAAAATGGGTATCAGATGGGATAACGCACATCACTCATATACTTCTAGCGCCTCACAGGAAGTTTGGGTTATCCTGGGTTATAATGTCCATTATCCTGTATGCGCGTAAAGCATGCCCGTGCGGCCTGGATATCAGAAAAGGCCTGATTATTATCATTATTTTCCATTATGCTCCGTTTTATTGATATACAGACCGGTTGGAATAATAGACAGGATAGGATATTTTGTTCAAATACGTGTACTTAGCTTGTTGGTAATGGAGATCAGTTTCAAATTCGACATGAATATACATCGCTGCTATTCAAAATCTCTGAAGAAAATAATACTAAGATGTACCTCAAAAGACAAGCCCGTGGAATATTTACGTTTTGAAAACTTGAAGTCATACTTAGGTCTCTTGTCATTCAGCCTTGTGGATAGACCCCCACCCCACCCCACCTCCCACCCCCACCCTAATGAGGTGACAGTCTCAATGAAGTAAATGGTTGGATTGTTCTTTAACGCCTTACTCAGCAATATTCCAGCAATATGGCGGTAATGAAGCATATTAAGCCAACCCACTCACCCACTGCTAATGCTCTAATATAATATTAATAACACTCTTCGCGCATAGAAATATCAAATAGGGCCTGTAAGTCTCGCGACTAAGATGGTTCCCAGCTCCGTTTGCCCAAGCCAACTTGCGATATGCGAGACGGGACCCAGCTTACTTTTGGTACCATATTTCCGGTGACAAGCGTATGTTCAAGAACCAGTTCTGGTTCCAAATTGCGCGACAGCCAAATATGACTTTACTAGACCGGGCCAAGTGTACAACACTGCTTGGCTGTCACAGCTGTTGACAGTAGTAATAGTTGGTTAATTTGGAGATGGTTAGATCGGAAATGCGTTATTCCTGCAAGGATTATCAGTTCCTTACTGTCAACCCACAACCACGAGACCTTTCGAAAAGGTATGAAACGTTGTTTGTCACCGGAAGTACTAGGGTCTCGCGAAGTGCCGTGACCTACGGGCCCTATAGCAACACATATTAAACGAGACTTGTAAATATCGGATACTGAATTAAGTTAATCATACATTTTGCTATCACTTGTTTTAGACCTGAAAACTGTCCTAGCAGCCGGAAAGATGCTTGTGGATCTGGACTGGAACACACTGTCACTTACTGTCGTGGTATTGATATTTTTGTTTTTTCCAGTTCAATACCTGTATTCTTGGCATAATGGTAATACCCCAACTGCTATAGCACGGGGAAATGCAATCCATACATTTTAGATTGTCCAATGGTTTTAATTGTTTTCTTTAAAAGAAACATTAACTTTCTGATCATATCAAACCAATAACTGTAACCTCAGAGAAAAGGTTTTGATATGATATTCGATATTATAGAATCTGTTTTGACTGATGAATAACCGAGATATAATAAGTATTGATTGCCCGTTATGTCCATTGTGTTCTAATATATAGGATAAGAGGAACACTTTTTATGGACAACCTCTTTATTGTAATGGATGCGTATCATTTGCTTGATGCGATCTACACCTAAACGTCGCCTCTATTGCAATCAAGAAGTTGACCATCCATAAAAAGTGTTCCTCTTCATCAAACCAGCTTCTAAATGCCAATTAAAGAGATATATAGGTTAGTTAGGTTTTTGTTCAAATTTTAAATGCACCCATCCTGCTCTTATTCCAGGATACTCAGGCGACAGGTTTCATCAATGGCAACATGGTGTTCAATATCACTGTTCCATCTGATATCAAATACGGCATGGTGGCAGTAGGATCGGGATCGTATGGTTATGCAGACTTTGACAACTTGAAGCTAAAGATACCTTATCTGTAGTTCACATGAATAAATAAATGTATACCATCTGAATAACAAGACACCATATACTGACACACTTTCAGACAGTTTCCTGTTACATTGAATGGACATTATGCCTGTGAACATATTTTGTTAACAAATAGAATGTAAAGAAATGAATAAAAATGATTTCTATTCCTTCTTTATGAAACGGAATGGATTTCTGGTGCAATGATAACATCTGATCTGTGTTATGTCTATGTATTTTGTACAAGCTATAACGGGTTGTACATGTAAACTGTGGTCATATAGTTGTGTCACTTCAAAAGATGTCATGTTGTCCCGATGTCCGAAATCTTCTCCTGATGACAGAATGGGGCGTGGTGGGCGAGCTGTGTAAAGCGCCAAGCTTGTGATCCAGCGAGCTTGAGGTGCCGGGATCGAGCCCACCTGTGACCGGGTGTAAAAACCTTGGAGTCAACTTTGTGTGCAGATTCATTGTTGTGACAACACCCAGTGTACAGTACACAACCCAGTGCACTTACAAGAACCCTCGAATCCGTTGGTGAACGACCAGAATACGTGCACAGACCTATTTGCGGGTGTAGCAACGTGAAGTAAACGTGAACAAAGTACTGTGAATATGTGTCCCAGAATGGGTACCTCGGAAGGATGGGAAAGCAGCAATAACTTGGTGCGCCTAGTGGCTGCAAGAGTTGTATGATCCCCAGGGAATTGAGATTGATAATACGATGTGCCATTCAGACTGACATCCAATGCTGGAAGGAAAAAAACAGCGCCTTGCGTGATATATGTGCGCTACGAGGGTCGATCAGAAAGTACTTAGCCTAACTATATTCTCGATGTCCAATGTTTGAAAAGCTTCCATTTTATTTTGAAGGAATCGTTAGCAAAGCCATATCCAAAATTTCACATGTGTGGGTAATGTGGTTAACCAGATATTTGTCATCACAACACATTGGGTATAATATTTCTTTAAAAATTGCAGAAAATGAAGAACGATTCGCCTTTTGGTACTTCTTGGATAATGGTATGCCCTCTGATAATGTCATGTAAATATGATCAGTATAGTATTGGATGACTTCCCGTCATGATCAACAGTGAAAGATTTGGATTGCCTGATTTATTTACTGATGCCAATAGCTGCATTTAGACGTTATGTGACATACTTGAGGCAAGTAGTCTTCTTTAGATACTTCAGATAAAGCTTCGAGAACTTCCACAAGAGACTTTTCTCCCAGTCTGAATAAAGCACCCATCATACTCCTGCCTTCTACTGAATCTTAACAGAAGCAATGTCATACACTTTAATCACTGCTACACGATATCATCAAATAACGCTGCCACATAACTGCTACAGTTTCTGTGTTTGGGAGCCTGGATTCTTGCCACATCAATTCTTACTTTTATTACCAGACATCGGTGTACGTTCCTGTAGTTTCGCCACTCCGTTGTTACAACTGCCAAAAATTTGGGCATGGATCACAGTCATGCACAAAATCCAAAACATGCTACCGATGTAGTGAACAAGGTCATGATGGGAACGAGTGTACGAAACATCCCAAGTGTGTGAACTGTACTGGAGAACATATGGCCTCCTCTAAACTATGTCATGTATTTCAAACAGAGCACAAAATCATTGAATTGAAACTAGAAAAGAATATCTCTTACCCTGAAGCCAAACGCTTGGTACATGCAAGTCAACCACAGACTCTTCCCCTGTCTTATTCCGCTGCAGTAACCAGAACAGTGAACAAATCTGCTAAATCAGTTGAAACCCAGACAGATATTACATGGGTCAAAACAGATACCTATTCACTCGTTGACGCTTCTTCTGTTCCTGATGTTGATACTCCTGCTGCTCCTGACGTTACTTCTGTAAACTCATACACGCAGACGCAAAAAAACAAACAAACATCACCATCTCCTCTGGTTAGAAATGCTGGCAAGAATATTGATCATTCTAAGCAATCTGACAGACTGTCAAAGGGTCTCCGAGACCCAATACAGGTATTTAATAAGTATGATATCTTGGAAGACATGGATGTGTCGCCACATCCCCATAGGCGAAATAGAAGCAAGTCGCCACGGTCAGGGCAAAGTAGATCACCCGTACGCCCACCCCAAATAACGTGACCATTTACCATCCACTTATTCAGTGGAATTGCAGAGGTCTAAGGACCAATGCCAATGAACTACATTTATTAGTACAGGACTTTCGACCTTCAGCATACTGTCTCCAGGAGACTTATCTCAAGCCAACAGATAAGTTTGAATTCCGTCAATACAATTATTATCATTCTTTTTCACCTCCGGCTGTTAAAGCTTCTGGTGGGTGTTCTATTTTGGTGAGGCAGGATGTGATCCACAGTCCTGTTCCTCTTAATGTCAATCTACAGGCTGTTGCAATTCGACTCACATTGCACATTACTTTTACTTTGTGCTCATTGTATATTCCACCCTCAACTACAGTCATTATATGACCAGCTCCCGAAACCATGTATATTCATGGGTGACTTAAATGGTCATAACCCTTTATGGGGAGGTACCAACACTAATTCTAAAGGAAAAGTCATTGAAGACTTTATCATTGATAATAGTTTGTGTATTTTTAATGACGGCTCACCGACATACTTGCATCCTGCTAGTGGTAGTTATTCTGCCCTGGATCTCTCACTGTCAGACTCTAATATGTTAAGTGAGTTTTCATGGTCTGTCCACGATGACCTCTGTGGAAGTGACCACTTCCCTTCCATTCTTACTCCAACCATCCCTGCTGATGAGCCACCTTCGACGAGGTGGAACTTTGCAAAGGCCAACTGGACTATTTATAAATCATTGTGTGAGGAAATATTGCAGCCAGATCTGTTCATGAATGTACCTGATCCCATTCAGCTGTTTACAGACAAACTTAATGTTATTGCTGAAGAAGCTATTCCAAAGTCCTCTGCAGTTTCACATATCTGTAAACCATGGTTTGATATAGACTGTAAGACGGCCAGGAAGACCAGGAACAAGGCAGAGAAATATTTTCGTAGGCACCCTACAGTGACTAATCTAAATACTGTCAAAATAGCAAACACCAAGGCACGGCAAACTTTTAAACAGAACAAACGCCGGTCTTGGAGAAACTCTGTCTCTAGGATCAATTCTAGAAAGCCAATTTCTAAGGTGTGGAACATGATACAAAAAATCATGGGTAAAGGTTCAAAATCGGCGGTTCATCATCTGAAAGACGGTGATCAATTACTTACAGACAAAATTGACAATGCAAATAAAAAAGGGGAAACTTTGTCTAAACATTCTTCATCATCGAATTACGTACCCCAATTCCAAAAATATCAAAAGCAGCATGAGAAGAAAACTATTACTTACACTTCCGATAATGGTGAAGATTATAACGAAATATTTTCAATTCATGAGCTCCACACTGCACTTGGACAAGCGCACGATACTGCAACAGGTGTTGATAACATCCATTATCAACTCCTGAAACATCTGCCTGAGTCGTGTTTGGAAACTCTGCTTTGTATATTTGATGCCATATGGACTTCTGGGAACTTTCCATCATCTTGGCATGATGCCATTGTGGTACCAATACCAAAACCTGGTCGGGATCATGCTGATCCTTCTAATTATCGACCTATATCTTTAACTAGCTGTGTCTGTAAAACTATGGAAACGTATGGTAGTTGGAAACTAACAATCAAATAAGTAATATTCAATGTGGTTTCCGGAAACACAGAAGTACCATTGACCATTTAGTACGTTTGGATTCATTTATAAGAAATGCCATTGTTAATAAACAACATGCGGTGTCAATCTTTTTTGATTTAGAAAAAGCATATGATACCACATGGAAGCATGGCATTTTGAGAGATTTACATGATTTTGGACTGAGAGGCCGTTTGCCGCATTTTATATCTCAGTTTTTAAAAGACAGAACATTTCAGCTCTGAGTGGGTTCTACCCTGTCTGACCATTATAATCAAGATCAGGGTGTACCACAAGGTAGTATATTGTCTGTTACACTGTTTAGCATTTAGATTAACAGTTTGTCAAAAGTTTTAAATGACTCAATTGATGGGTCTTTATTTGTTGATGATTTTAACATTTCATGTCGTGGCAAAAATATGCGCACAATTGAACGCCAGTTACAGTTGTGCCTTAATAAAATCCAAAATTGGTGTCTCGAGAATGGTTTCAAATTTTCAAAATCCAAGACAAATTGTATTCATTTTTGTCGAAGATATAAACCACATAAAGATCCTGAATTATTTCTAGGTGGAACTCCCATTAAGGTTGTAGAACAGGCCAAATTTTTGGGTCTTGTTTTTGACCATCATTTGACATATTTGCCGCATATTAGTCAGCTAAAGACTAAATGCTTGAAGGCTTTAGACCTGTTGAAAGTCGTGTCGAATTCAAAGTGGGGAGGAGACCAAAAAACCCTCCTCCACTTGTACAGATCACTTATTCGCTCAAAATTAGATTATGGTTCAATTGTATATGGTGGAGCATGTAAAAGTAATTTAGAAAAATTAGATACAATTCACCATCAAGGTTTAAGATTATGTCCTGGTGCTTTCAGATCATCACCTATCGATAGCCTTTATGTAGAAGAGGATGAACCTTCTCTTCATCAGCGCCGCATTAAATTATCTCTTCAGTATCTCACAAAGTTATGTCCAAATCCATCAAATCCTGCTTATGGTGCAGTTTTTAATCCACAGTATGAAGAACTGTTTAATGTAAACCCTAAATAAATTCCACCTTTGGGAAGTCGGATGAAATCCCATATTACAGCTGCAAATATTGAACTGGAGACTATATGTCCATGCAGGCTTCTCTCAACGCCTCCATGGCAATTGGTCCGACCGCTAGTGAACCTAGATTTTACTAATCATAAGAAATCTGACACAAATGACTTAATATACCAACAGGAATACATCCAGTTAAGGAACCAATATACTTCCCATCGTTCCATCTTTACTGATGGATCTAAAGATGGTGGCAATGTGTCCAGTGCCACTGTCATCGGATCAAACAATATCACATTCCGATTACTAGACAATAGCTCCATATTCACAGCAGAGCCCATGGCAATATTGACAGCCTTGGAATACATTAAACGTCAGTCTCATCATAAACAATTTGTATTATTTTCTGATTCATTGTCATGTCTTCAGGCAATGAAAAACATGTCTTCGGACCATCCCGTCATTCTAGATATATTGGAACTATACAGTAATCTTGCCACTAGCCAATACGACATTGTCTTCTGTTGGTTGCCCAGCCATGTTGGCATTGTGGGAAACACAATGGCTGATGATGCAGCAAAAACAGCTCTCACCAAATCTGTGACACCAGTTCTTCTACCATATAGTGATTTCAAACCTGTCATTAGATCTTATATCCGTGATCTGATGCAGAAGAAGTGGGACACCCAAGTAGATTTCAATAAATTACATGCAATAAAACCAACTATCGGTTACACCTACTTGGGCTGTCAGTCCAGATTTGAAGAGGTCACCATACGACGATGTCGTATTGGCCACACGTATTGGTACAGCCAGAATATACGCATGAGTACCTATTAAAAGGTGAGGATCCTCCATTTTTAAAGGAATTATCCCTTGGCCAAAAAGTCGCCTGCTTCCCTCTCGCCCGTGATGAAAGGACGTCATATGAGGAACAGTCAATGATTTCTCGACATCAACGACGCTTGACTGCATTGAATATTCCATCTCGGAAAGGGATAACTACCTTCAAAGTAAATCATAAACAAACTATGAAGGATCTTTTTAATAATGTCAGTTCTCATTTAATTATTGCATTTTTAAAGGAATTAGATTTGTTAAGTGATTTGTAAATAGATATATATTTTATTATTGGTAGTTTGAATTAGTAACTGAGATTGTTAGTGGATGTACCCTCAAAGGGGGTTGACGTAGCGTAAAAGTATTGTCATCCTGCGAGGGTATGTAAGTCCCAAAACATTTGAAAGTCAATTTAAGTGTACCAGGTTTTTAATCGTAGTATTATTGTTGTGTTTTTGACGTGTATGGCTTAATGTCAGCACCAACGCTAATGGCTGAAGGGATGGTGTAAATCCAGCTAGGGTCCATGCAGGTAGCAAAAGTAATGTAAGTCCCCATGGTCCCTAGTATGGTGATCTCCCTTCAGTTGTTGGCGATCTCTGGCCACTTTTTATATTGTATTGTCCAAATACTGCTATTTGTTTTAACTTTCTATGCTAGTTTTACTTCAAATTGTGATATTATAGTTGTTTTACTGTCCTTCGTCGGCAGGTTTTTATAATATCTATATATATTCTATTTCCATGTCAAATGTTCTCGTCACGATATGGATGCAATATTGCCGATGTGACGTTAAATTATAACTCACTCACTCCTGTAGTTTCGGGGTGGTGGGGTAGCCTAGTGGTTAAAGCGTTCGCTCATCACGCTGAAGAACCGGATTCGATACCCCACATGGGTAAAATGTGTGAAGCCCATTTCTGGTGTCCCCCGGCGTGATATTGCTGCAATATTGGTAAAAGCGGCGTAAAACCATACTCACTGTAGTATCACCTCTAAACAAGCTTAAGGTGTACCCTTGTTCTTGGCGCAGTATTACCGACAAGGGTAAACACTGACTTTTTTTCTTGTTTACCTAACTGAAGCGCTCGTTAAACCTTTAAAATACCAACGATTTACACCTACATAACTATTTCTGAGGATGAAAGCACTTTGTTCTGTACTTACCGCTGACCTTGGACTAAGACGCCTGCCATGTACCTTCACCTGTCACGTTAGCCTTGACATCAAATGAGCCTTTATCGAACAATCTTTAACAACATAGGTATACGTATACTCTTTAAAGTAGGGGAACTTCATTTTTAATTTACGATTGAAAACATTGGGAGATATATCGGAGTCAATTAATGTTGATATTATGAAAATGAATGTTTTGAGAGTGCATCAAATACGAGGGTGTTTTTAAATGGCCAGATCACTCATGGGTGTTTACGGCCTGACATTGTCCGAATGTACCTGTCAATGACACTTTGAGAGGTTTTATCACATCCTTGGATTGAATCCTGTACATAAGAACCTCTCAAATGGGGATCTTGTGGTTTGTAAAAGGGCCCGTATAAAACTCAGTTGTTGATTTTTTTAATTGTCGTTAGTCCATGTGAAAAATGTAGTTACAGGTTATTCCTTGGTAAAATGGGGTCAGGCCATTCTTGGTGTTATCGCCCGGTGAGGGTGTTGCTATCAGTCACGGCTTTATCTGGTCTTAAAATATTTACAGGCTGTCAGCGACGTAGTATGATTAGAACAATTACCTATCACTCGTTCTCAAAATTACTATCAAAAAGTGAAATTTGAAGCATCATTGTTTCAAATGCGGATATCACATCTGTGTCTAGAAGTACAAACATTGCAGAAAATGTTAAAGATAACATGTAGGATCTTGCACCAATGTCACGGGATAAAGTGATTTAACCTTGGTTAGGCCACATAAGAAACACATTTTGTTTCTCATCCCATTTTTAAAACAAAAATATAGGCAGATTTTACGTTATATTTTATTTTTTGTTAGTAGTGGTAGTGGTTTATGCAAAAAAAATGATTCCTGTGAAAATTTACACGTTTTCTCCGAAGGAAAATCAAAATCTAGAAGTGTGAAAAATTCATGCACGTTTGAGAGTCAAAGTTTGATTTTCTCTAGTGTAAAACATTTAAAAAATCTAAGGGTCCGGTCGAAGTTTTGGGTCGGGGGGTAATGAGAAAGAAGTATATTTTTTATATATGGCCTTATACAAGATAACGCGGTGACCTCTCCCACTGGCCAAGTCAACGGGTCGTCGTTCTCAATTGACGTCACAAGTATTGTCCTAATTCGTACTTGACCGTGTAAGCACCTGTCTAGCCAATTAGTTCTAAAATTGCTTCAATTTACTTCAACTATTATTGATACTTATTACATATGCTTGTCATAATCATCCTCCAAGTATCTGAAAACATTTGATCAGCTATTTTCCTTGATCTACTCTGATATATCCTGTTCTTCATGAGCTCTCTACATAGGTGCTGAGTTCATATATGATAGTTAAATTAAGTGTTCTCGGGAGCTGAGTTGTTCACTTTGCGGTAATATGGACGTCGTGGCAAGGATCGTGCTGTTGTATTTCGGAGTGCAGGGTTGTCTGTGTTCTGAGAGACTGACATACGTGTTCGGGGACGATGGTGGATTAGGAAGACGGTTTGACGGGATCGGAGCAATCAGTGGTGGAGGGGTAAGTAGGTTCCTAACGGTTTGTTTATTTGTTACAGAATGTTCATTCATTCATTCATCCGTCCACCCATCCATCCATCCATTCATTCATTCTTTCATTCATTAATCCTTCCATTCATTCATTCATGAGGTTGTCTAATAGATATCAATACTTTCACTTCCAGGCAACATCCAAACTGTTGGTCAACTACCCTCAAAAGCAGCGGGATGAAATACTCGACTATATGTTCAAGGTAACGTAAGTTCAATTTCAGCATTCCAGAAGCCCTATTCAAGATAAGGTGTGCCAGGACTGTGTATCGTGTTACGAAGATAAATCACAATTTCACAATCAATAACCTCAGGTCGAGATGAGATGTACATTCTTCTATTCTATATAAAACATTGCTACTCCACATGATTTGACTACACGTGTAGCATGTATCCCGGGCTGTTTAAGAAGGGATAACTGTGTCTTCAAATACAGGAATCCATCAGTGGGTCCACAACACTTTATTCTGGATTCAATATGTATAAATACATGATGTTATCACAAGGGCTAGGCGGCATGATTTGGAGGCGATGGTCAGCCAACCTGCCTAGCCGATGTCTCAGGGTCAAGTCTCGACTAACACAAAGCATTCTCAATTTCTCCCTAAGGGTCGAATCCTGATCTGACTGTCATGTGTCGTATTTGCGACAGATGTGTGGTCAGCCTGCAGTATCCCGCACTTCATCCACAATGTCATGCTTCAGTGGCCAACCGGCCTTTGTCTAACTTTGATTAGGCAGCTAATGACTCTATGATAGTGGCCATGATGACAATGGTCAAGCTGTGCAGATTTCATTTCTATTTACAGCATGGCCATTACTTAGAGAACTGATCAATTTGCATAACTTAAGGAATATTATAAATATCCCTGATAAACACTGTTCCAAAATGCCTACGATACATGACTCTGTAACGTGTTATGAAACTATAAATATACGACCATCAAGTGATCTTTTTATATTCACATCTTCTGTTCCAGCCTGACTTCGGTGCTGCTCTGCAGCTTCTTAAAGTGGAGATCGGTGGAGACATGCAGAGTACAGGTTGGGAAACATGAACACGTTTAGTTGACATCACTCGTACAAGGCTGAGAGCAATGTGTATTGGGGATAGGCATAAAGTATGCACGGTTGTTAGAGCAACTATAGAGAAACTATAAATTCAAACGTAATTTTAAATATGAAAGGTTTTAGATAAAATCATTGCCAGAGTATAATTCAAATTAAAGAGGTGACTGAATGTAGTTTTACGCCGCTTTTAACAATATTCCAGCAACATCACGGCGGGGGGCACGAGAAATGGGCTTCACACATGACGTGACGAGCGAACGCTTTAACCACTAAGCTATCCCCACCGCCCCAAACTAAAGAGGACCAGACTTGGAGGCTTAAACTGATTACTTTGCTAAGGTGATTAAATGTTTCTTGACTGTTATTGCATTTAAGCACAGTTCTTCATTCTGTTAACATAAAACATGTCAGTGGATTCTGTTTGTACAGAGGGGTCGGAAGCTTCTCACATGCGCCAACCTGACGAAGAAAACTATGAAAGAGGCTATGAATGGTGGGTTATGCTGGAAGCTAAAAAGGTAATTTTGACAATATTCATCCTATAATTGTACAAATAGTCTACATGTATGTGTATACACTTCAACAACGTTTCTATTTGAATGAGAGACTTTTCTACCTTTTACTCCTCTTCTTCTCCAGCGTAACCCTGACATACAACTGATCGGCCTGCCCTGGGGTTGGCCTGGCTGGCTGGGAGGGGACACAGGGGACGTGTACGCCAACCCTGAACAGACAGCCATGTACATTGTCAAATGGATCCTTGGTGCCAAGTCGAAATACGGACTCCACATCGACTATATTGGTGTGCGTGGGTCTTGTGTTCAATTCATATGGCAACAAGCATTTGCATTGTGCAGATCGCTAAGTTTAAGAGCTAACTTTGTGTGGTAAATATAGTGTTGTAATATCAATTCATTTACAAATGTTCATGACACTGTTGCTTGACTGATACGGGTACATTAAATCGATACATTGAGTGATTAAATTTAAAGCAGTATTTCAGCCATATCGTGACTATGAAAGTTATATATTGATAAAAACAATCGTAAACGATATGAATACTTGTCAACAAAGTTAAATTATTAATATCACAGACTTAAAACCAGCAAGTAACCATAAAACAATATTTCCAAACCAACACAATATTTACATGGGCTACAGATCGCTCACAACGGAAGGTAGATCGCCATACTTGTGGTCACGGGACTAATTATTATTATGAAATAGTTATTATTTCATCACAATGGATTCAAACCGGAGGATCTTCGCCTTGTAATAATTTTATATATTCATGTGTATATGTCGAATGGCCAATACGCCATCGTCCCATAATGACCGATTCAAACTGACACCTCAAGGAGGTATAACCGATAATTGGTGTCGTTTCATGTACTTATTCATACCTTCTTGGGTGTCCTACTTCTTGTGCATCAGACCCCAAATATAACATGTGTCACCATCCTTCAAGGCGTCTGTAAATATGGATTTATGAGTTCTTTAAATGACATTTAGAAGTGACACACGTAAACAAGGGAGTTTAATGAATGTTAATTTCTTAGGTATGAGGAACACAACGCTTTGGAGTATATCCTTCATTTATTCACCTGATGAAGGAATGAGAATAAACTCCTAAACGGTCCTCATCATAAAGAAGTTGACACTCTCTTCCTTATTATTATAAGTGTTTCTTAATTGATGAATAAGTTGATTTGTTTCCTACGAGTATGAAATGTTAGATTCAATTCGTATTCCAAGTAGCGGAATAAGATAACATTTTTGTGTAGATTTCTTTCAAAAGAGGATGAAAAACACAGTTATATGCTCGATTGGATTTTGTAGAATGTAATTCATTAACATATTATTACAGAATAAGGCATTCATCATGAAATATCCAGACACCTCAAGGAGGTATAACCGATAATTGGTGTCGTTTCATGTACTTATTCGTACCTACTTGGGTGTCCCACTTCTTGTGCATCAGACCCCAAATATAACCTGTGTCACCATCCTTGAAGGCGTCTGTAAATATGGATTTATAAGTTCTTTAAATGACATTTAGAAGTGATACACATAAACAAGGGAGTTAAATGAATGTTAATTTCTTAGGTATGAGGAACGCAACGCCATGGAGTATATTCTTCATTTATTCACCTGATGAAGGAATAAGAATAAACTCCTAAACGTTCCTCATCATAAAGAAGTTGACACTCTCTTCCTTATTATTATAAGTGTTTCTTAATTGATGAATAAGTTGATTTGTTTCCTACGAGTATGAAATGTTAGATTCAATTCGTATTCCAAGTAGCGGAATAAGATAACATTTTTGTGTAGATTTCTTTAAAAAGAGGATGAAAAACACAGTTATATGCTCGATTGGATTTTATAGAATGTAATTCATTAACATATTATTACAGAATAAGGGATCAGATGCATTGAACTAATGCAATAATGAAAACGTTCATGTAGTCGCTTTCTTGTTTTACAGATATGGAATGAGAGCCGGTACACGACCACCTACATAAAGGTAGGGAACTGAATCTGTACTAGGAACAAGGAGAAATTCAAAGTACAACTTAACATTCTGATAAAATGTCACCCGGTTTCAAATCACAGGTCCTCCGGAAGACGCTAGACCAGATGCTAGATGCTAGAATCTGGACTAGAATATTTCGACCAGGCAGGTAATTTACAGCAATATACGACATTGTGACTGACAAAACTGTCACCGGCGTTCTCTAACCACAGGTCCTACGGAGAATGCTGGACCAACATTATCTTCAGAACACCCTGATTGTTGCCGCAGATAACATCAAAGACTGGGACCAGATATCATCTCAGGTTCTTGCTGATCCAGACTTAGCTAACTCTATATATGCCATTGGGTACGTTGTGGACAATAATATACTCATAAACTAGACAAATAACAATTGAAAACTGAATGTCTGTGGTAACTAAACATATGTCTTGTGTTCACTTTATGGCCTTAAGACTAAATTGGCATCAAAGTCATGAGCATGTCCGTAGTTTCATGATTAATTAATGCATTGGGTTATTCACACCAAGCATAATTTGTTTACCATTTCAGTGTGCATTATCCTGAGACCAACAGCTCTCTGCTTGCTTTAGACACAGGAAAACCACTGTGGGCCTCAGAGGATTCTTCAAAAACCCTGTATTTGGTAAGAGCTTGTAACACGTTTAGGCTGGGTAATGTTGCGTATACTATAACAACAGCAGTAGAAGTCTCAAGGCTTGAAGTTTCCATAAAATGTTGGCAAACGACGTTCACCTTAAAACCTTTCAGTGTGAACGGATGCTTTTATATTTACAAATGGAAGTTATTTGTAAAATTCTTTTCTTAAACTGTTCAGATACTTTTACGATCCATTTAAAGCAATGGCAAATGTCTTTAGAGATCTGTCACCATAACCAATCCTGATGTATCAGAACGTCACAGAAAGAACATTTTCACATTGGTCTTTCCTAAATTTTACAAAAACAAAACACTTTGTGTTGCAGCGCTGGAATTTAAACTATGTGAACGGATTCATGACAGGGTAAGTGTATTTGTGTAAACATGAAATATAGTTCAATCAACTTTAGATTTCTTGAAATATTGAATGCCATTTGAACAATTGATTTGGTAACAAGTTGAACACAGACAGTCACACGTTCCTGGTTGCGTTTGCTTTTCCCTTGTCTATATTCATTCGCGTAAATAAATGACACACGAGTTGCAAATGACATGAAACAATTTTCGAAACTTCTCGTTACTTCGATATGTTGTCTATTCATACTTTTTCGTTTTTTCAAGTTTATTAACAACTCAAAATATCTAATATTTTCTCGTCGCACCTTTAGACGTTCATAGTAGCTAACTGTTGTTCACCAAAGCAAACATTGAATTGGTAATTATATTTGTTTGAAAACGCCTGTTGCCATCGCTAAGTCAATTGTTTGTCGGGCACACGGAATATAGCAGGTCTCTGCTCTATCATTACCTACTTTCACCTCCACTGTATATAACGTCTTCACAGGACGGTGATGTGGCCAGCGGTAGAGGCATTCTATGAGGGTCTTCCTCATCAAGGGACTGGCCTGTTGAACGCCTCAGAACCATGGAGCGGTTACTACACAGTTCCTGTTGATGTGTACCTGACAGGTAGAGAATGATAATGAATAACCATATATAGCCCCTTAAAATTCCTCACCTGTTCTGCCTCTATGTGACTTGATCATAATAATTGTGGGACGATTTGCTCAATACTAATATTGTGAGCACCTTCTCCAATATGGAGAATATAATGTGAATGGAACCCATCCTCACTTCATTAAACCAAAATCTTGACTTTCCATCTTTTTGGGTCTATCTGAAGCTTAAATACGATTAAAATACGAGTTCTTGTTATACGAATATGGCTTTCTCACTGCAACTGCATTGTTCGTTATTTCCAATCACTCGACTACATTTATACCAGCTCATAGTACCCAGTTCACGAGACCTGGTTGGACATACTTGAAACACGGAGCCGGAGTCGGTAGATTCAGTAATGGCGGCATATACGTGTCTTTGGTCAGCCCGGACCAGAAGGACTTCACCATTGTCATAGAGACAATTGTAAGTTGTCCAGTGTTCAGTAAACTCTGACAGTCAATGAACTCTCGGCAATGTTTTTAAGAACTGATCCGATGATACTTGCTTCTATTCTACAGTTTATGCACACATATAAAATACGTTCATCATTGGATCATTAGAAGCGAGATGGAAGCCTTTAAGGTTCTCTCTTTACTTGATTCCCTAATGCAAGCCCTTACTTAACATCGATATATTTTTATATGATCATAAATGTGGTATATTTATATATACTTAATACTTATATATTTTCATGTTTTACAGAATAAGAGAAGAACTGGTATTCCAGTTGTAGCGGAGAATGTCACCTTACAACTTCAAGACAGTTTTGTGAGTAGATTCATACTACTTTAAATACTTTCAGGCAAAACAAGGATAACACTGTTCTCTGTATTTAATATTACTATACGACACCTATATTTCAAAATACTGCCAGAAGGATCATTCGTATGTTCCACAGTTACCCAGTGGTAATTAAGTACAGAGGACTGACATTGATAAATGTGTTGTATCATCTAATCGTTTTGTTGTCAATCCAAAACCGTTTTATGTTCTAGGCTTCGATTACAACGCTGAATGTTTGGTACACCCAGTTGAATCTTGACAATCTCACGGACTCTTACGTTTTTGAGAAACACCCACCTATCCAGGTATGTATTTTGCAACTTACTGAACATTAATACTTCCACAACACCAATAAAGCCCTTAAGATTCTTAGATGTGTTCGTTTCTTGTTCACTAGGTTCATTCTGAATGTCTTTAACTGATCATTTGCAGGTCATAGATGGGAAGATAAACATGAACCTTGACGTAAACCAGGTGTACACACTGACCACCCTGACCACAGGAGGCAAGGGCTCTTACCCTCCTCCTCCTTCTTCTAAGCCATTCCCTCTGCCATATATGGATGATTTTAATGGTCAGTAAACCCTTAATAACCAAATCCTTTAACCAAACATTTCTTGAGGTCACAAATCAAACCATATAGATATCATATGAGCCACAATATGATTTGAAATGCCTCGTTTCTGAGACTTAATTCAGCCACAAAAAGAACCGAACAGTAAAAGATCAAGGAATGCGTTTGCGCTCAGTACCACGTGTCATTATATGCTTGGTATATGCATTCTAATTATCTGTGCCAGGTTATAGAGAGTATGAGGAACCGTACATGATATCTCCTCAAACTGGAGCCTTTGAAGCCACGACAGTGGGTGGTGATCGTGGCAAGGTGATGAGGCAGGTGACCACACGGAGGCCGGTGTCCTGGTCAACATGGTGTCCAATAGAACAGGCTGGAGTATCGCTGGCAGTGGTAGGCGAATATTACTGGTAAGTGGTCAAACTACCTTTCCTTAGTAACCCATGCAAAGGGAGTGAGTGAGTGAGTATTTATTACGATGTATCAGCAGATTTGCATGTGTTTACATCCCTTCTCCTTCTAACTGTGCAGGGAGACCTTGCTGGGTGAAAGGATGAAACTGTTGGCGAATAAATATATCCGTGTCTTCTCCACGCGTATCTTTCGTAAACTGGTCTTTAGACTTTGTGTTATTCGATCGGTTTTGAAGAAAAACACAGTCGATATTACGTTTCATCTTTTGTGAGTAGACAAGAGCATATTCCCACATACTGCTACACACCGTTACACACTGTCGCCACACACTACCACACTACTATATACTTCCTAATACTGCCATATGCTTCATACTGCCATAGTCACACACTGCCACACAAATATATAATGCAACTCTGCTACACACACTGCGCCACACTGTCACACACTTTGTTCCATATACTGCCACACACTGAAACACACACCTACATACTGCCACATACAGCCACACACTGTCAAAAACTGCCGCCACACAGTGCCACATTTTGCCCCACTCTGCCATAATACTGTCGTACACTGTCGCATACTGCCATGCCGCTACATAATGCCACACTGCCACCACTTCATACTGCCCCAAACTGCCACATGCTGATACACACTGACATACATTGCCACATACTGCCTCTCTGCCATATACTGCCTCACACTGTCACACACCTACATAATAAAACACTGCCACAATTACATACTGCCTTTCACGACCCAATGCTGGCACACACTGACACTGACTGCAATTCACTTCAGGTCTGAGACATACATCCAGTGCCAAGTGTCAATCAACTTAACGTCACCTGTCAGAGCTGAGGGCGTGTTCCTGGCCGCCAGAGTGGATCATGGGGGGTGTCACGCGGACAACAACACAGGGGTCTTCTTTTACTTCTACCAAGAGAACAAGACGTATCTGGTCAGCTCTGATCTTGGTGAGAAGCGCCTGTGCATGTCATCAATAATATATTTTTGTGATATGCTTGATCGAAGATTTTATTTTATTTCTATTGATATTTCAAATATAAATACGAAATACGTCAAAATTATGTAAACGTTACCGCCCCCGTAAATGATAACAAATTTCTCAGCGAGCGTTAAAATCCACATCCCAGCTAACCTAGATATACCACGTGCTTATCTAGAAGAGATAAAGCGAGGAATGGAAATTGAAGTAAAATGTATTAAAACAAAAGATAACTGACCGAAAAACATACAAGAATGCAAACACGCCCAAGGATCTACTAAGTTATCAAAATTAGCGATTTCTCCCTAAGTTAGCTGTTTCAAATTACCAAATAATTACAACCTTTGTTTGTTCCAGAGGAAACACATCCTTACCCAAGGAAATATCGACTCTGTTAACATATACGAATGGAATGTGATAGGCCTTTTTGTTCAGGTCAGTTATACAGTATACTTTGTAATGATGATGTACTTTATGTAGACATAATTTTCACCAATATATGTAAACGTCCTCGGAACAATATTCCTATTCGTTTGAATAAAATGTTTCTTGTAAACCGATCTACCATGTCGTACAACCAATCAATTTTCATGGCACATTGAACATAAAAGTTATTTTGTAAAAATCCCCAGCATGTTTTCCTGCCCACCACTTTACAACGGTACACTGTCAGTTTTGACAGTTTTGTGCTTGATCAATATGGGGACTATTACAAGAAAACCTAAAAGCGGACGCCGTGATCAACTACCATGACGTCTTAGTATCACTACATTGTGGCCAGTTCCCTATTTGAAGAGGCACTGGGGAAACCCTGAGACACGTTGGCCATAACGAAAAGTGTAATCTATAATGTATATCCAAGGTTGTTTTCCTTGATATTATGAGAACATACCTTGTGTTTTCTTGTCACAGGGAACGAAAGTTGCTGCGTTTGTCAATGGTCAAAGTCTCTTTAACGAAACGTCAGTTCCTGCAACGGTCAAGTCTGGATTTGCTGGTCTTGGAACGGCCAGTTTTGGAGAAGCTGACTTTGATAACTTTATGATTTCTGAACCGAAGGAAGGGCTTAGAAGAATGAAAGAATTACACAAGAAACGAAACATATGAAAAATAACACTTGTAAGGAGATAATCCATATCGTTATAAATATGTTAATTTACCAAACGGAAAAGTTTGTCATTTTTCTTCACTCTCTGTCCATATTGTTTACATGGTATGAAGTTGGCAGGAGACACATCAAGCTTCATTTTTGTCAATTCAATTAACGTCACAGAGGAAATAAAGAAAGTCATATTTTCATTGTTGATATACCGATGCCCTATCAACATTTTCACACAAAACATACACGGACATTTAGAGTGAACTATGTTCAAAACATTTGACGTCTGTTTTGGCCAATCGAGCTGTGAATCCCAATCCATATAATCGGACCATGATGACAAATCAGGTCCCCGAGCATCGCCACCCGATTAATGTACAAGCATGGAGTAATGGGAGAGCCGGTTACTCCCCTGAATTCTTCCTTCCATACAACCTGCAGTAGTATTGCGTTAGCTGACTTGAGTAAATTTACTCAAACGTTTAACCAGTGTCAAGAAATTGCATTGTATAATTCTGGCAAAATGAGGTCAATCGTGCATCACTTTCGCTATAGCAAACGTTACAAATTTCTTCCGACATCTCGAAGAGAAAGATACTTCTGCGTAAATGGGCATACTTACAGAATCCTGAAGAGAAGACGAAAATGACTGTAGTTCTTGGCAATGTACCATCAAGGACTGTAAATCAAATGTATCTACAGTCAACGACATCCTCACCAAGCCGCTCAGTGTACACAACCACCCCGCAGTTGAGAAATTGAGGTTTGACGATGTTAAATAATGAACTACTCCAACCTGCAAGAAAAATACGAGGTCACAGGAACAGATTGAACGGTGGACGTCAGCGCCATTGTGTTTGTCTTACTTATTAAATTTGTGAAAAACAATACTTTCGTTTACTTATAATTTCACAATTTAGTATTGCCCGAAGTCTTGTATTCCCAAACTTTGTCTAATGTCTGGCGTTAATTATCTCAATAACCCATTCGCACGAAGTGGACTCTTTTTCTGGACTTTGTTTTTACACGACACGGGGTGTCCACGTCCAGAGAATACCCCGTCAGACCTTGTAGAAATGAAACAAAGACTTGACCATGTGAATGAGAATTAAAGATCCCAACACAATGCCCAGCAAACGCTCCAATCAGAAAACAAAACGTTGAAGGAACACAATGAGCACATGCGAGTCTGTTGAGTTTCGAGCAGCTAGGTAACTGTAAATCTAACAGTGAACAACTAACTGGTGTGACAGAGAAGGTGCACACGTCAGAAGAACATGCGGTTTTCTCCCCAGACGTCAATCATCAGCTATCACGTGCATTCAAATCACAGACATGAAGAGGATCATGGCATCACCTTCCTACAAGATTCTGATGTTATACATTGCGAAAAATAAAACAGTTGAATACCCCAAGAACAAACTTGAGAATCAGTCTCACAAACGATAATTAAAGTGAGAAAACTCGTATTGTTCACATTAAATCCCCAAATAGAGACATTGATATCCTGCAGAAATCTCAGGTCAACCCAACAGAGACTCCACAGGAAGGTAATGCTAATGATCTTTTCTAAGAAACTATTAGGACGAGATATTACCAGGAGACATCTCCAACAGATCTACAAGACTTGCCATCCTCAATTTTCTCCATCAACACAATATCACTGTTAAAGGACTGAGACTAATACAAATTTTAAGGTGCTTCACAATCAGCAAAGCTTACTACTCCAAAACATCAGTCAGAGCAATTAGAACTAGATGTGGATTGGCCCACAGGAGTTTACTGTCACAGGTGGATGAGCAAGCAGCAGGAGAAAACACACAACAGGAATTCTAGAGACTGGGACTATTAAGTGCCTCAGTTGCCGCCATATAGGCTATTCCAACATGAAAACCATGAACACATTTCCTATTGCATCAAATTTATTAACATCCATTATACTTCAACTTTTCCTCAACACTTAGTCTTCTAACTTGGAATGTGAGAGGAATAATGTTCTCGGCACTCTCACTTTGTGAAATTGCTGACCAGAACAATGTAGACATTGCATTTATATCAGAGCATAAACAATTACAGTGCTCCGACAGCTTTATGGACTACTATTCACACTGGTTACTCATCATTTGTCAAATCTGATAGAAACATCTCTGCAAATTCCTATTGTGGTAAAGATAGAGTTGCTATATTGTTTAAGTCATCACTGATCCCATATGTGAAACATATTGATGCCATCCACAGCTCTCGTATAATTGGGATTGAGATTGAAGTTCGAGACCTGCCAACATTTTATTTGTTTGGCGTCTATATGCCTACTTCCTCTTATGGATATCGAATTTTTGAAACAAGAAATTGACATACACTGTACTTCAAGACCTATATGATTTCTATGAAAGTAAAGGAATAGTGCGTTTACTTGGCGATTTGAACATTCCACTTCAGGACCACAACTCCGTCACAGAAAGAAGAAGATCATGTCTGCTACAAAGCTTCCTCGAGAATAATAACTAAGTTATTCTAGGATATTGATTCCTTACCATATGCCTTTGTCCCTTCACAATCGATGTTAGATCTTGTTCTCGTCACTGACAGTATCGTCCAATAACCCTGCTCCCTGTCATTTATAAACTCTTTGAGAAACCTTTGCACAACAGACTAACATCCTGGATCACGCTAAACAGCATCACAACACCTAAACAGCAGCAACAGGGTTATCAAGTGGAATCGGATGCATGACAACAGAGTTCAACCTAACGGAATCAATATGTCATCATCTTGAATTGGGAAGCAAAATTTACACAAACTTTTTAGACAATAAAAGAGCTTTTGATACAGTTTGGCACAATGGCCTGTTTCTGAAGCTGTAGCAACTTGGAATTACAGGGCAATCCTGGAGAATCCTTATCGATACATACACCAACCTCAAAAATGGAGTTTTTGTAAATGGCATTCAATCTAGTCTCTTCCCTGTACACCAAGGTGTAAGACAAGGCGGTGTGTTGTCAACTCTTTTGTATCTCATTTTTAGTTATGAACTTCTTGACGAACTTGAGGCATCAAGATGTGGTGTGAATGTTGTTGATCTTCATCTTGGAAATCAAACATTGGCTGATGACATCACCCTACTTGCAATCACACCAGAGACTCTCTTGGATATTGTGTCGAAGTATTCACAGAACTGGAGGTAAGAACCTAACCCCTCCAAATGCCATATAATTGTTTAGGTCCAAAGCTGGTTACTCCTCAACCTTTAAGTGGCGCCTTACAGCTGATATTGTCTCCACAACTGCCTCTACCAAACACTTTGGACTACAATAGAACAAAAACCTTAAACATGAAGATGATGTAGAAGCTTGTAGAAAAGCCAAATGGTGTTTTCATGCTCTAATGGGGATTGGCTTAAAACTCAAAGGTGTTAATCCCCTCATATCCGCAGAAACTGTCCGTAAGACAGTTGTACCTTGTCTGCTGTATGGCTGCGAACTGTGGACACAGCTCTCTCAGCAGGATATACGGCAGCTCCCGAAAACATGGCACTATATGGCAACATCTCTCTCAGCGGGATATACGGCAGCTCTCCACAACATGGCACTATATGGCAACATCTCTCTCAGCAGGATATACGGCAGCTCTCAACAACATGCCACTATATGGCCACATCTCTCTCAGCAGGATATACGGCAGCTCTCAACAACATGGCACTATATGGCAACATCTCTACAAGGCTTCCAACTAAGGACAAGAACAGATATGTGTCTCAGTATGATCAACTGGATGCCTATTACAGAAGAGATCTCAAAGCGTCAACTTATGTTTTTTCACAAGCTATGTTCACTCTTCCCTGACAAGCTATCAAAGAAGCTCCTCCACAGAAGACTCTACCAATATCTTCATAACCGTAGCAATCAACAGATATGCTTCATACCTCACATAATCAATGCCCTACAGAAGTACCACCTGCTGGACACTCTGAGTCGGTACTTGACTATCAACATTCTACCAAGGAAATACGAGTGGAAGACACTGATTACCCACATTACTAAATGCTACCAATGATTCATTTATTGTTCTGTACCAAATCATTTCTGGATGGGGAATAATCTCTCCGACTCATGTTTTGGAGGCTAATACTGAAATGTGGTATATATCTTAAGTTATTCGATATTCTCCACTGCATACATTGTGAAAAGAACAGGAAATCCAACCCGAGTTTTTTGACGTGACGAGCGAACGCAACTCTTGGAGAGCATTTCCATCGTAACTGATTCCAGTCTACAACTAAAGGCGCTCGATATCATATTTGCAAAATATTTTCTGTATGTCTCAGTATCTTCATGAGATTTCTTTCTGAATCAGGTATGACATCAGACATGGTGCGAATCTCAAATTTATTTCATTTCATCCAGTGTGCTTGAACACTTCTTAAAGTATACACAAAGAAACCAATTAAGCCCCCTCTGTATTTTTGCATCATATTGGAAAACGTTGATTAGGTGATTATAGTGAACGTATCTGGTTTGTTGGTTCCGGGTTATGGTGTGCATTGGTGTACCATTCTAACAGCCCGGCGGCATTCTCATATTCGGACTAAACTGGAAAAAAGGTAACTCTCAAACATCAACAAGGAGATGAAAAGGTAAATAAATGATATTTGACCTGATTACAAACATCGTAAGAGATTGCATCAGTATTGCTTGCTATCTGGCATGATATTGTGTTATCTCCAACGTAAATACACACATGCCGGCCTTGGCATATATACTGGGCCTGTCTGACGCTCAACGTGGTAGTCTGTACTGCTCTAACATGGGTGTTCTTAGGACATTAGTATTGTTAGTCCTGGTATACACATGCAGCGGTCAGTATACCTACCCAGTGGACGACACACCCGGACTAGGCCGGGTATTTGATGGTATTGGTGCCATCAGCGGAGGAGGGGTGAGTATGTGTTACGTGTGACCTTGTGTGGTTAATGACTGTTGGACTGGTGGCTTTGCTTGCATGCAGACCTGATTAGTGGAACAGTATGTTTAATTATTTTTTGTTTGACTGTTTGACTAATGATTTACTCTACAGTGAATGAGCAATGTTTGTATCCTAATGCTACATTTTGACAGTATCGGAATGTTTTGTTAATTTCAGGCTACATCCAAACTCTTGGTCGGCTACCCACAACAACAAAGAGATGAAATCCTGGATTTCTTGTTTACCGTTAGGATTAACAAATTACCTAGTGAAATAACTTTTTTTCGTTATACGTCTTAAATATATTCCCGTATTGTATTTCAATAACGTTGAATGGAAATTAATATCCAAAAATCATTCGCTTGCTAAGTTATCAAAGATATTATCTTAATATTGAAATAAAGCTTTGTTGAACATCTGATATAAAATAACTCAATTTTCAATTAACATGTTTGGGTTTCAGCCGAATTTTGGAGCATCACTTCATATTTTTAAAGTTGAGATTGGTGGTGATGCCCAGAGCTCAGGTAAGACTTTATGACGGAGACATATTTGTAAAACCAAATACATGAAAATGCCCTCAATAACCCCAAACAAGTGTACATATGCATGTGTTTTGTTCCCAGAGGGCACGGAGGCTACACACATGAGGAGCCCTGATGACCAGAACTACAACAGGGGCTATGAATGGTGGATGATGAAAGAAGCCAAGAAGGTAAGCTGGACTTGGTTGCACTCAGGATACCATCCTCGATATTGTGTGATACCTGTCACACCCAGTATATATATTTAACCCTTAGAGGTGACACTAAATAAATCTGATGAGTAGTATCCGCTTTTGCATGACTCTCATGGTAGCCTGATGGCATGGAGCGGCCAAAGATGATTATTAAACATATGTTTGTCTCGTCCTGAGCAAAGATTCACAAAATGGTCTTAGGGCTACGATGACCGTAATCCTATAAACCCATCACACTTGCCGCTCTGTATCCATGGATTCTATTCTATTCTCTAGTTTCTTACATCAGCGTAATATGTCATGAACCTGCTTCCCCCGGCAAGCAAGTTACCTTCCCTGTGAAGAATGTATACCTTAGTTTACAGTGGCTATAATCACATTCCTACCTGTTGTATTGTCAACTTTCAGGTATTTATACACTACACTATACATATATAACTTTTTCCAATCATGTTGTGGCTGAAATTGTGCCGATGTTTAAAACTTCTGCCGATTTGAACTAAATAAATCTCTGTAACCTCTCAGAAACAAACGTTCCAACCTGAACTAATAAAATATATTTACATTCACGATATCGTCCAACTGGTCACTACAAATAATGGGCAATCGACAATCTGTTTTATTCCTATGAGAGAGATAACTGAATAAACGCTCATATCAATACTTACCTGTGTCGTATTACTTCATGGGTAGGCAAGGTAGGGTTTGCACAAAGTACCTGCTTGAGAGCCTGTTCACTATACTGTACACATTACTTCATGGATAGGCAAGGTAGGGTTTGCACAAAGTACACATTACGTTGCTTGGCAAGCCTGTTCAGTATCATGTACACATTACGTCACTTCATGGATAGGCAAGGTTGGGTTTGCACAAAGTACTTGCTTGAGAGCCTGTTCACTATACTGTACACATTACTTCATGGATAGACAAGGTAGGGTTTGCACAAAATACTTGCTTGAGAGCCTGTTCACTATACTGTACACATTACTTCATGGATAGGCAAGGTAGGGTTTGCACAAAGTACTTGCTTGAGGGCCTGTTCAGTATCATGTATACATTACTTCAGATAGGCAAGGTAGGGCTTGCACAAAGTACTTGCTTGAGAGCCTGTTCACTATACTGTACACATTACTTCATGGATAGGCAAGGTAGGGTTTGCACAAAGTACATAAAAGGAGCACTCTTCGTTTCATTCCCTGGCTACAAAATGGACAGACGTTACTTGGATGTAAATCTAAAATTTGCTTTGCTTTAATTGTTGTGTAATATATGAGATTTTCATGAACGTTTACAATCACATACCAAGTCTGATTTCAAGGAACTGTTTTAATAGGGGTAAAGGCATTCTAAAAGTCACCTTCCGTGATTAAAATTAAACAAAAAGTTTGTAAAATCCAATAAAACACAAAAAACACCCGACAGTTAATGAGCAGATGGGGTATCATGTGACATAACGTCATATGTGCCTGTTGCTGATGGCTTTCTCTTTGATTGTATCTCACAACTAAACAGTGTCCATGGATTCTGAAGCAGTAAAACATGTTCCTTATGTCGTTTCTGAAATGGATGTTCAGTATTCAAGTTTATTTCGTAACAAGGCCTTAGGCCCACGTACAATACAAATAAACATGTGTAATTATAAGATAGTGGCATTTGCCAATCAGATTCATATGTATAAAGAACGCAATGACAATGCTTCCTTGATGTAAGAAGAACAATATGTTAGTGTTGAAAACCTGGTACAAGATAATGTGTTCAGAAAGTATTGTTGATCCATGTAATATGGTAATGCTTTAAAATATTTACAGCGCAAATCATGATAAACTTTACATTCAAATAGGAAATGAAATTCATTTTCTACAGAATTATCATTACAAATATTACAAAGTCTTTGGTGCCTCGGAACTACATCAAATCTACCAGTATGTTTATATATTGGAAGTGCACCGATTCGTAACATTGTTATTCGACGCCTCGCATCTTTAGATTTCAGTAAAGTTAAATATGGTTCAATGCAAAATACACTTTTGATACTGGAATAGACATCAAGCGATGAGCATTTGTGCATTTCTGAAAATATGAATTGCTTTTGACAATCGCCAACTCTTACATGAAAATCTTTCAAAAACTATTCCTCGTTGCCAACTCCTTGAGCTTCCCCCACAAAACCAAAACCATAATTGAACAAAGTATTTCGGACAAAATATACCCACGTTTACCTACCAACTTTGTCTAATGCAACATAATATAACACTGCTTTGGATTTCTATCCTTTGGTAAGCGTAAAAGTTTGAACCAATACTTCAAAACACGTAATAAACACGTAATCAACATAAATATAATTTCTTCTATTTCTTTCTTAATATAACTAACGCCCAACACATACTTACAAAATCTAATGTGAAACTGTTCAATAACATGCCATTTCCGAAAACCCCATATTTCCGAAGCGTACAAAATTGTCGGCTTTATCTGGACGTCAAAGATTTTGAACAAAATAATTGGAGAAGTATTTTTAAGTCTCCTACCGAAAACCTAAACTGAGCACAAGGCGTTATCCGCTTTATTTACCAGATTTTGAAACAATTTAGACCATGAACGTCTATTTGAAAACAATAAACCCAAATAATTATAATATGTAGAAACGTTTAACTTATGATCACCAAAGTACCATGATTCATACCGCCTTAATTTACCACCATTTCTAAAATCTAGCACCTCCGTTTTCTCAAAGTTTACAGACAAGCCACATTTTTTACAAAACTGTAGTAATACGTTGATCTTCCTCTGAAGACTAATGGCAGAATCTGCAAACAAACATAAATCATCTGCATACAGTAGCAAATACAATTCCATAAACTCTGGGTCAATAAATACACCCCTGTCACCACAAGTAATTATTTCCGTATACAACTGGTTAACAAACAACTCAAATAGAAGAGGACTTAAAATACAACCTTGCCGAACCCCACTGAAAGAAAGAATCACTGACTGACTGACTGAGTTTGGTTTTACGCCGCTTTTAGCAATATTCCAGCAACATCACGGCGGGGGACACCAGAAATGGGATTCACACATTGTGCCCATGTGGGGATTCGAACCCGGGTTTTCGGCGTGACGAGCCAACGCTTTACCCATTAGGCTACCCCACCGCCCCACGGAAAGAATCAAAATATTCCGAATAATTCAAATTGTTTAGCTTAACACTAGCCTTTGTCTTTGAATACATATCTCTAATGATATTGAACATAGAACCATGGACACTATTAGATAACAGAACAAACCAAAGAAGATCTCTATTAACTGAATCGAACGCCTTACGGAAATCAACAAATAAACAATAAAATCTGCCGCCTGTTTTTGACAAATATTTCTGTATAACACTTTGAAGTGTAGAAATGTTATCGACCGTAGAATAGCCCTTACGGAAGCCATCTTGACACTCAGGGTACAGATCTAACACTTCAACAACCTCTTTCAAACGCCTGTTCATAATGGAAGTAAAAACTTTGCCACAGATATCCATAAGAGAGATATCACGATAAGTATTTACTTCATGAATGCTTCCTTTTTTATGCAATGGAAATATACAATAGTAAGTGACCACTGATCTGGAAATTTACCTGACCTAAAAACGCCATTAAACAAAGTACATAAATATGACTGTAAAACAATTTTGTTAACTCTAAACATCTCAGGTGGAATACCATCTGGACCAGGACTTTTATAACGTCGTAAACTACCAAGAGCAAACTCCACCTGTTCAATACTTATGTCCCTATTCACAATATTATTTATATCATCATCATTACAGATTCCACAGACGGATTCTTGCACATCATGATTTACAATGAAATCCTTTGTAAAGGCTAAAAAATCTTCATCAATATGAATATCTTGAATATTTAATGCATCTTCAAAATATTCAATTGATGCTACAGATTTACATGAAGCGCTACTAAAGTGTCTCACATAAGACCAAAAAGATTTGACCCTTTTACCAAAAGAAAAATCTGATAATATAGAGTTGGTTTTTGCTATTGTATATTCCTCCTTCTTGTGACGACAAAGTTCTCTGAATTTGTTTCGAACTTTATGAAACTCTTGAAGGTAAGAAAAATCCCCAGACAGGCGGAATCTATCCAAAAGTTCATATTTATCTTGTTTTAATTTTCACAGTCCTGATCAAACCATTGCTGTTTATGACTATCCCGTCTTCTCATAGAGTTCGAGTTCATTCCACAAGAAATGCAGTTTTTTGGATAATGTCAGTCAGCATTTCTGCACCTAGAGATTGATTATCCATAGTAGTCTCATGAAAAGCATCAAGCGGCAGTGAGTTTAGTTTACTTTTAAACTTGTCTGCATGGGAAGGTCTACACTTGTATTTCTTAATCACAGTTGTGTCATAATGCTCCGAGTCGTCAGTATTCTGGAAGAAACACTTTAGCTTACAAACAATAGGCAAATGACCAGATTCTACTGATGTACACACCCTGAAATCGCTAATTGGGTTGAATAGATTAGTAGAACATAATGCATAGTCAACTAGACTATGTCCTTTGTTTGCATTACATGTAAATGCTCCATGCGGATCACTCTTTGATCTGCCATTGAGAATGTGTATCCCATAAATGCAACATAGATTAATAAGTTCCTTGCCATAGTTATTTATCTCGGGATCTCTTGATGAGCGTGGAGTGTCGAATGTATCAATCATGTCGTTAACACCATATAGCTCTGGAGTAAGGTCTGCTTTATCAGGAATGATATAATCTGCTAGGTAACTTATCCTGGCATTAAGATCGCCACAAATGATGGTATGTGTGTCATTATAGTGAAATTTCAGATCTAAGATAGCGCTGTCCAGGTATTCAACGCCCTTCTTATCTCTAGTATCAGTCACAATAGAGGATGTGAGACTGTATCAATCCGATCCGATTTTGCAGAATAATCAAGCGAAACGGAGGCACCGCTTGCTGTCAAAATAATTGTAAAAATAGACCATATCATTTAATAAGAATACTATTTGTCAGAAAAATGTGATACAGTTCTAACCAGCAAGCCCGCCCCTATAGATAAATGACCAGTTCCTAAGAAAATATTTTTTGAAATGTGATTGTGAATCAGGATCCCAGTTCTCAAGTCTCCATCCAAGATCCCAGCCTGGTCTAGCAGAGATAATATACGCTACGCAGATAATTTATTCCCCGAAAACTGGTGAATTTTACAATACTAGTCAGGACAAAGTATGTTTCTCTAGCTTTTGGTTATGGAAATAGTTATGGTGCTCGGTCATAGCCTTAGAATGACATCTTGTCAGCCAATGAGAATATAATAACTTTCACGGCACACATTACTGACAAATAGCGAGTCTGCCGACGTGCGTAATTGGACAAAATGGAAAACAATGAAACATGATTTGCCGTTGTATTCGACAATGTTTCGGGTAGACTGCTGCATTTAGGGCTCCAAACCGAACAGAACGTTATAGCGAAACATTTTCAAGCTCTTGTGAAATCTCTTACTGATTTTGATAATATATATCTCATGGGTACCAGTCGGACTGCCCCAGCTACAAAATGACCCAGCAAATTTAGTCATTGATTTAAATTTGGTCAAATTTATTTAAAATGATTAAATATATGCCGTAAATGCATAGTTTTTGTCCACTTTGATATTATGTTCTTCATATGAAAATTATTAGGAAGTAATATTTCTGATAAATGTTCCATTAGCAAACTCATAACTATGTATATACGTATATATGTAGAACATAATATCAAAGTTGACAAAAAACTATGCATTTATGGCCTATATTTAATTATTTTAAATAAATTGGGGCATTTTGACTACCCCCCTGGGACAATTTGACCATATTAGCTGGGGCATTATGTAGCTGGGGCAATTCGACTGGCAATAGGACTTGATTTAATTTATGTTCAAAATACCACTGACAGTTGTAACAGGGAAAGATGGAGTATAAATGAATCTCGTGGGTATTTCTTCCTTCTTCACCCTAGCTTTTGGATTTTCATACCCCATGATTTTTCACACCCTCGGAATGGTCGGAACATTTCTCCTGCCTAAATCGGTCTCCTTACTTGGAAAACGGAAGAAATTGTGGCTCTTTCCATTGTTCGAGGATTCCGTGCATCCCCAGACCCCAGACAACGGAATACACCATCGTACCATTTACAAAAACGACCGAAACAACATGATTTGCACTACTGTAGCGCTTGTTCTTTGGCAATATGGCGGACTCTAGTCAAATATGACGTCACGAGCGGAAAGGTCACGTGATTTCAGCGGAATATGCGTAATGTCCGAAGCTCAGATAACAGAAACTCTTTTCGCGATTAAAACATAATAAAGCATATTTTTTTAAATAACACTTGGGGTACATGTTTCAGATGACTTTATCCTTCACCCAGCAATTATTGCAGTTGTCTAGTATTCTCCTCTAATCATCACTCAGGACCTGCAGCAGTTTGTAATCAGTAAGCTGACTGTGGCAAGTTTGTGTAAACCTAAATTGTTTTCATGACAATTTGGGCAAGAAATTAATAAATAATATACATTTTCAAAGATAAGATGTCAAAGATACGCTGTAGCAGTTGCAATGAATTATTTATTATTTTTCAAATTTTAAATTAAATCACATCCTACAATACAAAAGCACGTGCAACTGTTTTGTGTGCTGATTAAATACCAATGTATTTCATTTTTCTTCATTCAACTCTAAATAAAGACATAATCTACTGAAAATCAAACATGAGATAACGTCAACTGTGATGTGTAATTCCTCAGTTAAAATGCATGTATATATCATTTCAGCGTAACCCTGACATCAAGCTGTACGGACTCCCGTGGGGGTTTCCCGGCTGGCTAGAAGACCCTATCAACAGCGTGTATGGTCAGCCAGAACGTACAGCGCAGTATGTGGCCAATTGGGTCATTGGTGCCAAGAAGCTCCACAACCTGACAATAGATTACGTTGGGGTATCGTGAATGTCATGTTTTCTTGTTTGCCCTGACTGTGTCTCTGTAGCATTCCATCCACGTTCACTCCCGTTTAGCCATTTTATGTATGGCAATTACTGTTTTTGTGTCATTTTACCCGAGCGCATGGAGCATGATTTAAACCCTTTTAATGTGATATTTTCATATAGATGGAATTTACTTCATGCAGCGACGGTCCATAACTGTTGTACTCAATGAAAATTTAATGATTATATCACTTGGCGCCATCGAGACGAATTAAAATACTATGCTTTACATAGCAATGCCTCAACTTCCGGCTTTGTATGAACAGTCCTCACCCCCTTGTGATTTAGTACTACCTGAACAGTTACTGTTTAGCTACTATAGTGTAACTTACAAACCAACTGTAAGGACCATCAACATATGTATAATGGAATCTGGAGGCAATGCTCTTTTTGTTTTGAATGATCCAAAGCTATCAATCTTGTGCATTATGGCGGGTGTATATCTGATCCAACTACTCCCCATCAGGCATCATTCGGCATTTGAACGAAGTGTCATCATTATGAAACTTATTATGTTCCTTGTCTATCTTAATGAGATATGTCTCAGTGAAATTATTACATTACATTATTACATTATTATTACAGTGCTATACAATATACAATAATGACTATATATCGATGTTTCATTAAATGTTGTGTTTTTAAAATTGAGCATTATGGCATTGCAACAGTTGATAAGTACTTCTAATTATATATTTCTCATATACCTAACATATAGATATTTACGTTTTTCAGTGTTGGAATGAAAGATTGTACAACACGACATATATCAAGGTGACTCTATTTACAACTTTGTATTTACCTAAAACGGTTGAACATTGAAAACTTCCCTTTGGCGTAAAGCAATATCTCTATTGTCAAATGCATGTTCATACTGAAAAGAGCCACGACAATGTAGCCCCTTGAATCTCTTACTGAGTTCTCCTTTCAGACTTTAAGGAAAGTCCTGGACAGCAATGGCCTCCAAGACACGCTCATCGTAGCTGCAGATTACTTCCAATGGGACGACTTTGCAACTGCTATTTTGAATGACCCTGAACTTGACAAAGCCATCTATGCTATGGGGTATATGTTGACATTGGTTTCTTCAACTGTTTTATAATCAACAGACAAACATTACATTCTTACCTTGAATAGCCCAAGAGCGAAACCACTTATAATTTGCTGCTTGAATAGAAAAGGTTTTAAGGATAATCATTTGTTGCATTTCGTAGTTCGTGAAGTGTAAAAACTGATTCTTTTCCAACAGTCTACCCTGACCCCTCAAACCACAACCATGAATGTTGAATTAAAGGAGGTATACATTGGTTATGAGTGGTTTAACGTTTATGTTATTTCAGAGTACACTATCCTCACACTAACAGTTCTTCCCTGGCTCAAAAGTTGGGCAAACCTCTGTGGGCATCGGAGGATACATCTGAAAAAGGCCCCGCTGTAAGTACATGTCTTACAGTTATGTTCCACTGTGATATGACAACGAACAATCTGTCACGGAATGTATCATTTTGAAGCCTCTCCATTTTCACGCATCGGGCAGCATTGGTCCCAGTACCCAATGCCTGTCGGGGAGGCCTTTTAATGTACATTGTAACATTACTGGCTGTCATGCTGGCATTGATCGATGCTCATGCTTTCAAACATTGCTTCTATCCAGACATGTCTGCTGACAGTTTGATACATGTGGCATTGAACAACATTCAACCACTACCTATCTGATTCAGATCTTTTATCCATGCGCACTATAAAAGTGAATATCTGATTCTATATATCGAGGTTGATATTTTGTAAATTTGAAACATATATAGAAACAATTGTCTTATGGCGTTGTTATCGTTGTTATCATGAGGAACAATACCTCATGAGGAACAATACCTCATATAACAAAAATGACACTTTATGTACGACTACGCTCTTGGCAGCTGTTTCTTTACAAAGCTGATTACTGGATACACGTTGTAAGACATATCTACTTTCCAAATTGATTGCGTATGTTATGGTTCTTAAGGGCAAACACATATAGTTCCTTGTTGATATTTCTCTGAAGGGAATATAATGGAAACAGGTAGATCGTTGGTCAATTCTTCGTTTCAGAACTGGAATCGAGACTATGTAAACGGGAACATCACAAGGTAAGCCATATAATGCCCAATTTACAACTGTTACACAATCCGTTGGCAATAGTTTCAATTAAAAGGCATCTTTGCGAACACTGAATACAGAATACGGTTTCGTTTCTTCATTGCGAGACTATCAAGTGATATGTATGTTACCCTAAGCTCCCTTTATTTCTTTGGAAACCTAGCACCATCGTGTGGGCGGCTCTGTGTAGCTGGTACTCCTTCCTGCCTCACTTCCCGTCGGCACTTATACTGGCCAATGAACCTTGGAGTGGACATTATGAGACCTTTGATTTCCTATGGCTTGCAGGTCAGTATTGATGTCAACAGCCAATCAATGTTAGTTGGGTTCTTATATATATTATCGTCGAGTTCATGATAACACTTAACAGGGGTCAGTTATACCGATGAAACTGGGAGACTGGGTCTCAGTGCACGAACTGAACTGTTCATGAATTGTTTCCTATTGGATATTCCAAGCACCGAATTGATTGCGATGTAAACCATTTTTAACAGTTTATGACGTCAGAATCACAAATGTTGCAGCTCATACTGGCCAGTTTACCAAGCCCGGGTGGACCTACCTGAAGCACGGGTACGGGGTGGGGAAGCTGGTTAAAGGAGGCAGCTATGTCTCTCTGATCAGTCCGGACAAAAGGACCTTACAATCATCATTGAGAAAATGGTGAGGCCGTATAATCAAAGTAAATCAGAATCACATATTTTCTTGTACAGAAAGTTTATGAAAACCTCTTTCTCAAATCTGACATCCTTTGTATTTTGATATTTTAGGTTTTGATTCTTCCAAGCGACCTTGGATAGGTCTTGTGTTTGTAGTTCAATTATAAGGTTTACAAGGTATTTCATTATTGCAGCATCAAGATGACGGCCCTGCGGATATAGAGATGGAGAACATCACATTTCAAATCAAAGGGACTTTTGTAAGTCTTAGTGGAACCTGTGAAAACCCTTTTTAAAAAGAACTGGCGCATGTTTTCATATGAGGGTATACAGTTTATACCCCCTGTGAGTGCTTACAAGATCCAAAACTATCTCACATGCATGTAAACACTAAACCATTATCTAGATCGTCTTGGTTTTATCTACCTTCTCTTCAGCCGTTACTTCCTGAATTATCTGCTTGTCATGTCTAGACAGGCGACACATGTCAATAAACGCGTTAATTCAGGTCTGATGCAGTGTGATGCAGTATGACTTCATTCTTTGAAAGCATTAGCAACAAATGACCAAAAAAAATACTTCTTCTGTTTTATTGATTTTTTTTTTATCATGGTGTGTATGGGGGGTGGGGGTGGGGGGTTTGTAATTGTTTTGGTTGTTTTGGGCGGGGTTGTTTTTTTGGGATTTTTGTTTTGTTTTTTTTTTGTAATTTGTTGTGTTAGCACACACCTCTACTGGTTACATCCAAATCTCAAAGAAACGCTCACTTTGTGATTGTTACCAGCACTTAGTATACAGTGTTTGTGTATCGATGATCAAGATGACCATTATGTCTGTTCACAGGCAAGTATCACCCAGCTCAACAGTTGGAAAACGTACATCTCCTCTACTCCAGGCGATTATCAGAATTTCTTAAAACAATTTCCTGTTAAGGTAATTAATACATATTTCACTTTGGTTAGTGAAGAACTATGTGAAGTAACGAGTTAATTTTCTGCCGCTCCAGTTTCATTTTCACATTTAACTTTTTCAGTTTTGCGGCAATGTTAGCTTTTCTTCTCAAGGATCCATGTTAAATAACTGAAATAGTAGCTGGAAGAACCCATATCTTCATGTTCATTATTAAAGGATGTATCCTATCCATTCTGAAAATGACAATTTTGATTATGTTTGACGGAAGGTATTTATCTATTCAATATCATACAACTGAAATTTAACCATATAAACAGGTTGCAAATGGAATCTTCAATCTGACGATCTACCCGGAAACTACCTTCACCTTGACGACGTTGACGACCGGACATAAAGGGGAACCCCCGAAACCCCCAGCTTCCGTCCCTTTTCCACTGTCATATGCGGAGGACTTTGAACGTAAACATACTGTTAATATTGAGTAACACTGCATTCGTGGATCGGTACCGGTTTCATGACATATGGAACATTTAACGTTAAAGGCATGTTAAATATTTGTCATTTGGATAAGGAACTGAAAGAAGCTTGTAAGTATCACTTTGCGTTGGGAACTTCAGTACCTACCGATACGTCAATAAACAAGGTTTGATGAATTTGCTGTAAATCCACCTTAAGGTATAGTTTAATGTTATTATACTTGGAATAAGGTTTTATGGGTATGTCAGAAACAGAGTTACCATACAGTAGTCGCAGAAGTAATACTGTTGATACAGTGAGTGATTTGACCAAGTGTTTGTATGTCCAGGTGTGAATTTGGTCAAAAGGTAATTGGCGCAGTCGAACCAAAGGGTGGTTTTCTTTGTAAATATTGTTTTTACATGTCTGTCTTAAATGTCATATTACCTGAATACAGATGGAACATATAACCTGAACATTTAACCTGACCATTTAACCTGAACATTACCTGAACACAGACCACTAGACGTTCTCAAGAGTGCAGTTTCAATTTATATCCGTAATTGTATCAATAAAGACAAGACGTATGTGTGGATAGGTCTTCATTTAATTTTCGAATACTGAAACAGCATGGTGAATAAGGAAAACTTTATAAACTGAAATATATTTTTAATATTTCAGAGTATGAGGTGGGTGAAGAGCCCTACGTCCTGGCCCCACAGACTGGGTCATTTGAGGTCATGGACGTCGGAGGCACTCGTGGAAAGGTCATGCGACAGATGACCTTGCAGCGACCTGTGACCTGGTGTCAAGCAGATTATGTTGAGATGGGCGTGGCCGTTATTCAGACTGGCTCGTAATTATTTTTCATTGGCATCCTACAAAGTATAGTTTGTCCAAAGTGTTACATCAGTTTAAATGAGTGAGTGAGTTTAGTTTTACGCCGCACTCAGCAATATTCCAGCTATGTGGCTGCGGCAGTTTAAATGAAGACATCAATGCTTTAGTTCCCTCCTTTGAATGTTTCATTCTGCAAACAGTTTAAAGGTACGCCTTTAGAATGCCTGATTAAATGGCCAATAAATTATTTGTATTACCATATCTATTTCATATATTTCCTCTGATGAGTGTATTTAGTCCATATCTCTATCATTGCCTGTCTCTAAATGAAGACATCATTGATTAAGTTCTCTCCTTTGAATGTTGATTTCGGTAAATCATTCTTCATCGTCCAGTGTTCCTGTTTTAGGGGCGATGTCGTCCTTGACTGTGACATTAAAGTGCAATCCGGTGCGAATGCTTCTAAGGGAGCCTTCATCGCCGCTCGTCTGGACCAAGGAGGATGCTGGTTGACAGAGACAAAGGGTGTCTTCTTCTTCATTTTCCCCAGAGCAACATATTCATGGTCACTACTGGATTTGGTATGTTAACACCGAGATATTGTTTTCATTGTCCAGACATGACAGTTGGCTACGGATTAGTCCTATGTACAGTTTCATCGGTAATATCTACTGAGTGTCGTGTGTCGTGGTACTTGGGGCTCCGTGGTTGAAATATTGCTGGACAGAGATGTGTCCCATTAGTACGAAACCATGTTAACTTTTCAACATCCATCGCTTTTGACTCTCTTCCCACATCAAGTTGACACCCCGAAATATAACAGTACATTTTCCAGGTTGCTTAGTTTTGTAGGTCTTCATCAGTGGTAGTATAATATTGATATTACTCCATTCTTTAACACAAGTTATGGTCGGTTTGTTCAGAAATTGCAAACAGGTAGCCGTATCTTAGGCTGCTCCCTGAAACGATTTTGATACTGACTTTTCCCTTTCGGACTGCCAGATTGTGTTTTCCTGATAGATTCACGATTCGAGATATACCGCACTCACAACATTGCCATAATGTGCAAATACATCGTGATGGTGTTTCAAGATTCGGTTCCTATACGTGTACATATGTTAGTGATGTGTGGTCTTGTGCATAGAGCCTAGGTCACAAGTCAGGTGGAATTAAGTAACGTTGGTCCATGGAGAGTCCTGTGATGAGTGACTGTGTTTAGCAGCTTGACCCGTGAGAGTTTCTAGGACTTCTGTCCTGCCCAACAACGAAGCATACGTGACACATGCGGTTTCACCTTAGGCAAGTCAGTTTGTTCAAATTTGCCTTGTTCGCCCAGCAGAAAATGGATACACGGTGGGATAAGTCATATGACTATTATACTATTCTAACGCCTCACATGCAGTTTGGGTTATCCTGAGTAATAATGTCCATTGTGCTGTAGGCGTGTAGAGCATGCCCATGCGGCGTGGAGTTCAGCGCTATAGAAATGGCCTTATTATTATTATCATTATTTTCCATTAATGTGCGGTTCTATTGATATACAGACCGGTATTTATTATGATATTTTGCTTCAAATACGTGTACTTCAGTTGTTGGTCATAAGATGAGTTTCAAACTCGGCAAGAACATACATCGCTGCTACGAGTATTCAAAATCTCTGAAGAGAAAATACTCAGATGTACCTCAAAAGCTGTAGCATGTCGAAAACAATGTCAGAAGCCCGTGGAATATTGACGTTTTGAAAACGTGAAAAGTCATACTTAGGTCTCTTGGCATTCAGTCGTGTGGACAGATTTTCCCTTTCTAAAACTTTAAACATGTATCAGTGTATGAAACTGACCGCTCTCAGTTGGTTGAATTGTTGTTTAACGTAGCACTCAGCATTATTCCAGCAATATGGCGGTAATGATGTAAATGAAGTCAACCCACTCATCCACTATTAATGCTCTATTATAATATTAATTACACTCTTCACACATATAAAATAGGGCCTGTAAGTCTCACGAGGCGTTACTTCCGGTACTAAGCTGGTTCCCGGCTCCGTTTGCCCAAGCCAACTTGCGATATGCGTGACGGGGCCCAGGTTACTTCCGGTACCAGATTTCCGATGACAAGCGTATATTCAAGAACCAGTTCTGGTTCCAAATTTCGCGACAGCCAAATATGACTTTACTAGACCGGACCAAGTGTACAACAATGCTTGGTTGTCACAGCTGTTGACAGTAGTAATAGTTGGTTAATTTGGGGATGGTTAGATCAGAAATGCGTTAATCCTGCTAGGATTATCGGTTCTTTACTGTCAACTGACAACCATAAGACCTTTCGAAAAGGTATGAAACGTTGTTTGTCACCAGAAGTAATAGGGTCTCGCGAAGTGCCGTGACCTACTTACGGGGCCCAATACATATTAAACGAGACTTGTAAATGTCGTATATTGAATTAAGTTAATCATACATTTTGCTATCACGTGTTTTAGACCTGAAAACTGTCCTAGCAGCCGGAAAGATGCTTGTGGACCTGGACTGGAACACACTGTCACTTACTGTTAGGGTACTGGTATTTTTTTTCCAGTTAAATACCTGTGCTCTTGGTAAAGTTAGTAAAATCAAAATTGTTATAACACGGGAAAATACAATTCATACATTTTAGATTATCCAATGGTTTTAATTGTTTCGAATGCGTTAACTTTAAAAGAAACATTAGTTTTCTGACCATGTCAAACCAATACTAATAAAAATAATAGTGAGTGAGTGAGTTTTGTTTTACGCCACACTCAGCAATATTCCACCTATATGGTGGCGGTCTGTAAATAATCGAATCTGGACCAGACAATCCAGTGATCAACAGCACGAGCATCGATTTGCGCAATTGGGAACCGAGGACATGTGTCAACCAAGCCACCCGATCCCGAATAGTAATAACAATAATAACATGATAGAATTGTATTGTGTACTTTTGCACATATTTATTTATCGGATGACCCTCTGGTGATGCATGTCAAGACTCATGATGAAAGCAAGGAATTCAACGGCTATTTTAAGCGTGCCAAGGTTGTTGGACAGAATCTGAAATTTGATGTTGATTTTGTTGATGGCGATATACTGTATACGGTACAGCGATGGGAGTAAACCAGGTGAAGTCCTTCACCAAGTCTGCCCAGAGTCGGTCATTTGTGGAGAAGCTCTCTGAGAAACCACTGCATCGTGTGTACATGCAGTGTGTGGAACAGAATAGCAATCCCACCGACTCCTTCGCCTGGATGAAGTCGGCTGGTCTTAAATGTGAAACTGAGGGCTTCCTTTTTGCTGCTCATGATCAGGACCAGTCACTTCCCACTCGTAATCGCCTAAATGTGATTCTTAAAGAAAATATCAATATGAAATGTCGACTTTGCAATGAATTTACAGAGACTGTCCAACACCTTGTCAGTGGATGCCCTCCTTTGGCACAAACAGCATATCTTAAACGACATGATCGATGGCATGGCTCGTTGCTTTTACTACCGTCTCCGCCATGCCTGTGGCTTTTGCTCCGAGGTCCACCCATGGTACGACCCTGAACATGTCCAGGGCGTCATGGAAAATGATGCTTTCAAACTTCTCTGGAATAGGCCCATATACAGCCTCAGGAGAATTCCAGCCAACAAACCTGATCTTGTCCTTTTTAAAAAGCCAATAAATTTATTTATATCATTGAATTTTCTGTCCCTTTTGACACCAATGTGATTTGGCAAGATTCAGGAAAAGCATGATAAATATGCGGACCTCGCCTTTGAAATGTCTCGCTTGCATCCCAAGTACACTGTCGCCAGGCTCCCCATTGTTCTCGGTGCCCTTGGTTTGGTACCTCCTGATCTCTTGGCGCAGATCAGGAGAGTGCCCGGGTTCTCCACCGGGAGTACAGCCCTTCTGACACTCTGGGTAATGCAGAAGGCTGCAGTGTTGGGGAGCCTTCATATTCTCTGGAAAGTTCTTGGTGGGTTCGACTAGGCAGCGTTTCCTGGGAGAAGTCCCATTCGCTGTCTGGGCTGCGTGTAGAGGGGGCAAGGGCCCTGAGCTGATGATGAGCCTTACCAGCCTGACCCACCCGAACCCTCTCTGCTGCATACTATCTTTAATCTGTAAAACATAATGATAATATATTATTATCTATTGCAATAAAGAAGTTGACCATCCATAAAAAGTGTTCCTCTTCATAAAACCAGCTTCTAAATGCCAATTAAAGATATATAGGTTAGTTAGTTTTTTGGGTTCAAATTTTAAATTCACTCATCCTGTTCTTATTCCAGGATACTCAGGCGACAGGTTTCATCAATGGCAACATGGTGTTCAAAATTACTGTTCCATCTGATATCAAATATGGCATGGTGGCAGTAGGATCGGGATCGTATGGTTATGCAGACTTTGACAACTTGAAGCTAGAACTACCTAATCTGTAGTTCACATGAATACATAAATGTATACCATCTGAATAACAAGACACCACATAGTGACACACTTTCAGACAGTTTCCTGTTACATTGAATGAACATTATGCCCATGGACAAATCGTATTTTGTTAACAATATAATGCTGTCATGTCGCCCTTAGAAATGAATAAACATGATTTCCATTCCTTCATTATGAGACAGAATGGATTTCTGGTGCAATGATAACATCTTTCTTTGTGATCTGTCTAATGCCTATGTAGAAACACTTTAGGTAATTGTATTTTGTACAACTATAACGGGTTGTAGTTATTGTGGTTTAGGTTATATGTCGTATGTTTTCAAAATATGTCATTGTCGTTGCTCCCAAAATGATAAATCGATTAAAAATAACCATAATGCTAGATGAAGTGAACAAATCTGACGGCGGAGAAACAGCACCTGAGATAGGCTCCAGATAATATCAGTGGCGTGTCGTGACACATAGTTAATGTGAAACACGTGATGAAACATGGTGTTTAACGAGACATGTCCCGTTGTCCGAAATCTGCCTCTGCTTCTGCTCCTGGTGACAGAATGGGAAACATGCAGAGTATGGGAAACACCATCCCACATGTGCCCATCTGCACCTTGTCTCTGTAAGGGTAGCATGTGCAAAAGTTGCATTGTTGCTTTATTACAGAATAGAAAATGTCATTCAAAGTGCGACATTGCGACAAATGGCCAAATCGGCGCATTGTGTCGCTTGGGTTAGTTTTGACACTTTCTACTTGTTATTAAAAGTGCTACTGCCCGACAATGTCCCTCTTAGGATTCCATATATAAATGTGTCTGCTCACAACCGAATCTGAATGACAATGGTAAATCTGGCGATGTGATCATTCTTAATTTTAAGCTATAAGTTGACAAGAAACCAATCCAACTTAAACTGTCCAACAACCAAAAAAGAAATGCAACATAATTTAAATGATAGTTTTTGTATAATTACTGTCTTTAAAATCGCTTCAAAGGAATTTCAGTGGCAGTGCATAATAAAGTGAGAGTACGAATCTAATGACAGTGCAATTACAATGGCCAGATGATATAAAATCATTGATTATAATAGTAAAGAGAGCAATGGTTGTGTTCACCTGTCTGTAACAGTGCATCAGTTATCAAGATTCCAAATTAGGCCTTGGTTGAGTAATGGAGATGAACAGAGATTTACACACAACTGTTGGTTGTAATGTGACATTACAGAGGCAAGACGTAGTTCTCTTTAGATACTTCAGAAAAAAGCTTCCATAACTTCCACAAGGGCCTTGTCTCCCAGCCTAAATAATACCCATCATCCTACTGCCCTGTACTAAATCTTAACAGAAACAATGACATACACTTAAATCAGTGCTACACGATGGCATCAGATAACACTGCCACATAACAGTTTCTGTGTTTGGGAGCCTGGATTCTTGCCACATGAATACTTACTTTTATTACCAGACATCGTGTACGTTCCGTGTAGTTTTGGGGTGGTGGGGTAGCCTAGTTGTTAAAGCGTTCGCTCGTCACGCCAAAGACTCAGGTTCAATTACCCACATGAGTACAATGTGTGAAGTCCATTTCTGGTGTCACCCGCCGTGATATTGTTGGAATTTTGCTAAAAGTGGCGAAAAACCAAACTCACTCACTCCTGTAGTTTCACCTCTAAACAAGCTTAAGGTATACCATTTTTCTTGGCGTAGTATTAGCGGCAGGGGAAAACACTGACTTTTTTCTTGTTTACCTAACTGAAGCGCTCGTTAAATCTTTAAAATACCAATAGACATGATTTACACCTACATAACTATTTCTGAGGATGAAAGCACTTTAATGTGTACTTAACGCTCACCTTGAATTAAACGCCTGTCATGTACCTTCACGTGTCATGTTAGCCTTGACATCAAATGAGCCTTTATGGAACAATCTTTAACAACATAGGTACACGTATACTCTTTAAAGTAGGGGAACTTCATTTTTAACTTACGATTGAAAACATTGGGAGATATATCGGAGTCAATTAATGTTGATATTACGATAATGAATGTTTTGAGAGTGCATCAGATACAGGGGTGTTGTAAAATCTTTTTAAATGACCAGATCACACATGAGTGTTTACGGCCTGGCACTGTCCGAATCTACCTGTCAGTGACGCTTTCAGAGGTCTTGTCAGGTCCGGGTTAGAATATTGATCTTCAGTAACCACAATGGCTATCGTAAGAGGCGACTAACGGAATCGGGTGGTCAGGCTTGCTGATTTGGTTGCCACATGTCATCGGTTCCCAATTGCGCAGATCGATGCTCATGCTGTTGATCACTGGATTGTCTTGTCCAGATTCGATTATTTACAGACCGCCGCCATATAGCTGGAATATTGCTGAGTGCGGAGTAAAACTAAACTCACTCACTCCTCGGATTGAATCCTTTACATAAGAACCTCTCAAATGGGGATCTTGTGGTTTGTAAAAGGGCCCGTATAAAATTCAGTTGTTGGGGTTTTTAATTGTCGTTAGTCCATGTGAAAGGATGTAGTTACAGGTTATTCCTTTGTAAAATGGGGTCAGGCCATTCTTGGTGTTATCGCCCGGTGAGGGTGTTGCTATCAGTCACGGGTTTATCTGGTCTTAAAATATTTACAGGCTACCAGCGACGTAGTATGATAAGAACATTTACACATCACTCGTTCTCAAAATTACTATCAAAAAGTGAAATCGGAATCATCATTCTTTCAAATGCGGATCTGTGTCTAGAAGTACAAACATTGCATAAAATGTTAAAGATAACATGTAGGATCTTGCACCAATGTCACGGGATAAAGTGATTTAACCTTGGTTAGGCCACATAAGAAACACATTTTGTTTCTCATCACATTTGTTTTTACAAACATAGGCAGATTTACGTTATATTTTATTTTTTGTTAGCAGTAGTAGTGGTTTATGTAAAAAAAAATTGATTCCTTTGAAAATTTACACGTTTTCTCCGAAAGAAAATCAAAATCTAGAAGTGTGAAAAATTCATGAACGTTGAGAGTCAAAGTTGCATTTTCTCTAGTGTAAAACATTAAAAATATTCTAAGAATCGGGTCGAATTTTTCGGTCGGGGGGTAATGAGAAAGAAGTATATTTTTATATATGGCCTTATACAAGATAACGCGGTGACCTCTCCCACTGGCCAAGTCAACGGGTCGTCGTTCTCAGTTGACGTCACAAGTATTGTCCTAATTCGTACTTGACCGTGTAAACACCTGTCTAGCCAATTAGTTCTAAAATTGCTTCAAATTACTTCAACTATGTATTGATACTTATTACATGTGCTTGCCATAATCATCCTCCAAGTATCTGAAAACATTTGATCAGCTATTTTCCTTGATCTACTCGGATATATCCTGTTCTTCATGAGCTCTCTACATATATTTTAGTTAATTAAGTGTTCTCGGGAGTTGAGTTGTTCAGTTGGTGGTAATATGGACGTTGTGGCAAGGACCATGCTGTTGTATTTTGGAGTGCAGGTTGTCTGTGTTCTGACAGACTGACATACGTGTTCGGGGACGATGGTGGATTAGGAAGACGGTTTGACGGGATCGGAGCAATCAGTGGTAGAGGAGTAAGTAGGTTTATAACGGTTTGTTTTTCTTACAGAATGTTCATTCATTCATTCGTCCATTCGTCCATCATTTCATTCATACATTCATTCATTCATGAGGTTGTCTAATAGATATCAACACTTTCACTTCCAGGCAACATCCAAACTGTTGGTCAACTACCCTCAAAAGCAGCGGGATGAAATACTCGACCATATGTTCAAGGTAACGTAAGTTCAATTTCAGCATTCCAGAAGCCCTATTCAAGATAAGGTGTGCCAGGACTGTGTATCATGTTTCGAAGATAAATCAATTCCACAATCAATAACCTCAGGTCCAGATGAGAATAACTGATGTAGATTTTTCTATCCTATATATGTAAAACATTGCTACTCCACATGATTTTACTACACCTGTAACGTGTTATGAAACTATAAATATACGACCATCAAGTGATCTTTTTATATTACTTAACTCAAGGAATATTATAAATATCCCTGATAAACACTGTTCCAAAATGCCTACGATACATGACTCTGTAACGTGTTATGAAACTATAAATATACGACCATCAAGTGATGTCAGTTTTTGTATTCACATCTTCTGTTCCAGCCTGACTTCGGTGCTGCTCTGCAGCTTCTTCAAGTGGAGATCGGTGGAGACATGCAGAGTACAGGTTGGGAAACATGAACACGTTTAGTTGACATCACTCGTACAAGGGCGAGAGCAATGTGTATTGGGGTTAGGCATAAAGTAGGCACGGTTGTTAGAGCAACTATAGAGAAACTATAAATTCAAACGTAATTTTAAATATGAAAGGTTTTAGATAAAATCATTGCCAGAGTATAATTCAAACTAAAGAGGTGACTGAATGTAGTTTTACGCCGCTTTTAACAATATTCCAGCAACATCAGGGCGGGGGGCACCAGAAATGGGCTTCACACATTGCACCCATGTGGAGATTCGAACCCCGGGTCTTCAGCGTGACGAGCGAACGCTTTAACCATTAGGCTATCCCCACCACCCCAAACTTAAGAGGACCAGATTTTGAGGCTTAAACTGAGTACTTTGCTAATGTGATTAAATGTTGCTTGAATGTTATGGCATTTAAGCACAGTACTTCATTCTGTTAACATAAAACATGTCAGTGGATTCTGTTTGTACAGAGGGGTCGGAAGCTTCTCACAACTGTGAGAATGTATGCCTCTGTACGAATTGCAGTAAATACATGGAAATCTGCTGATAAATAAATATTCACTCACAGGCATGTTAATCCACTGAACAGTTCATCAGCCTACCTACATGTCAGTCAGCTTCATGGTGGTTCTGTAGAGTCTGAGACGCCTACAGTTGCTGTCGAAAAGATTATCATTGATACTGAATGACTGAATTTTGTATTTTCATGATAATAATCAATATTTATAATGATCAACAACACTAAATGAAAATTCGCATGACAAAAACGTAGGTGTCAGATCTTTATCGTAACCTTTAAAGACGTTCAGCCACATCTATCTCCGGTGCAGTCTAACTATTTTTCCCCATCATTCACACTCAAGTGTCACAATGTAACTACAATTATATTATGTCACTGGATAAAATTATTTGTCCTTGAGCATTAGATAATGGCGCGACCTGATTGACTGGGCCGGTCACATTCTCTGAAAGTCACATACGTGTCGTATTGCTCAAGTGTGACACATGTTATAGTCTAATTCGCCCTTGACCGTGTTGGCATCTGTCGGGCTAATGATTAGTTCAAAACATACTTCAACTACATGTTGGTACTTATCACATACGATTGCCACCCATCATTATACTCCAGTTAACTGATAACATTCGGTAAGATATTTTACCTTGATCTAATTAGATAAGTCAATTTCTGCGGGTAGTGTCTTCACATAGGTGCTCCTTTTACATAATACCTGCACAAAGATTGAGCTTATCAAGCGTGTTTGTTATTTCTACCCGAAGTTGTTCACTTTGCGGTAATATGGACGTCGTGGCAAGGATCGTGCTGTTGTATTTCGGAGTGCAGGGTTGTCTGTGTTCTGAGAGACTGACATATGTGTTCGGGGACGATGGTGGATTAGGAAGACGGTTCGACGGAATCGGAGCAATCAGTGGTGGAGGGGTAAGTAGGTTTATATTGGAATGAGGAATGTTTTATGCTCTAATAGCAGCTCATTCATTTATCGATCCATCCATTCATTCATTCATTCATTCATTCATTCACTCATTCACTGTGGAATTTCTATTGGTGAAATTCTCCTTGTAAGTGGGAAGTAGTTGCAATGTGGTATATATCCAAAAGAATAAATAAATCTAGAAAACTAAATTAAATCCCAATCCCATTAGATCGCATTCTTATTTCTGTAACCACATGATATTTCAGTCATAACATACATACTAAATACAGTGTACATATAATTAAAGATCTCTGCATACAACTGTCCTCTGTGATCTTCCTCTTGTGACCTTGTATAACACCCCAGAGATGACTACCTTGAAGTGAGCTACCTGTATGTTGCAGCTGATCCTTCAAATGCAGTGAGTCGCCAATCAACACTTTCTCTTCCAGGCAACATCCAAACTGTTGGTTAACTACCCTCAAAAGCAGCGGGATGAAATACTCGATTATATGTTCAAGGTAACCCAGGTGATGTAATCACAGGAAACTTCAGTATTGCAGAAATTCTATTCAGACAAATCACAGTTTCACAATCAATAACCTCAGGTTCTGATTAGATGTAGATCCTTCTATCCCATGTAAAAACATTACAACTCCAGATGATTTATTACACCTGTGTCAGGACTACAACGTGTTATGAACTATAGGTACACGTCCAGCTGAGTGATGTTAGTTTTGTATTCACATCTTGTTCCAGCCTGACTTCGGTGCTGCTCTGCAGCTTCTTAAAGTGGAGATCGGAGGAGACATGCAGAGTACAGGTTGGGAAACATTAACACGTTGACATCACTCGTACAAAGTAGGGAGCATTGGGGTCGACAGAAAGTATATACGGTGGTTAGAGCAAGTAGAAACAATACAAGTAAACTTCAGATATTATAGTTCAAAGTATGGAGGACCAGATATGGAGACTTTGACACAGTACATTGTATAATTGGTCAAATGTGACTTCAAACTATGGCATTAAAACAGAATACTTTAACAGCAATCACATAAATAGTGTCAGTGGATTCTGTTTGCATAGACGGTTCGGAAGCTTCCCACATGCGCCAACCTGACGAAGAAAACTATGAAAGAGGCTATGAATGGTGGATTATGCTGGAAGCTAAAAAGGTAAATATGACAATATTCATCCTATGATTGTACAAATTATCTACATGTATGTGTATCAAAACGTATTTTACTTCATTGATGGACTCTTCTACCTTTTGCATCGGACTTCTTCCCCAGCGGAACCCCAATATCAAGCTGTACGGCCTGCCCTGGGGTTGGCCTGGCTGGGTGGGAGGGGACACAGGGGACGTGTACGCCAACCCTGAACAGACAGCCATGTACATTGTCAAGTGGATCCTGGGTGCCAAGTCGAAATACGGACTCTACATCGACTACATTGGTGTGCGTGGGTCTTTTGTTGAAACAATATACCACATTCATTTACATTTACATTGCGTTTATCGTTGTTTGATAGATAACTTTTAGGCAAATATATATCGTTCATTCATTCAAATAGTAAACTGGTACATTTTACTGATATTATTAAATAGACACGTTTCACATGCAAAAACAACACACTGAGACGTCTAATTTTGTTTTACAGATATGGAATGAGAGCCGGTACACGACCACCTACATAAAGGTAAGGAACTGAATCTAGACTAGGAACAATGAGGTAATTTACATGTCATGTACAACATTCGACGAACATGTCACCGGCGTTCTATAACCACAGGTCCTCCGGAAGATGCTAGACCAACATGATCTTCAGAACACCCTGATTGTTGCTGCAGATAACGGCAGAGACTGGGACCAGATATCATCTCAGGTTCTAGCTGATCCAGACTTAGCTAACTCTATGTATGCTATTGGGTGAGTTGTGTCTTCATAAACTGGACAAGTAAGAATTGAAAACTGGATACCTGTGGCATCTGAACAAACGTCTAGTGTTCACTGTATGACCTTAAGACTAAATTGGCATCAAAGTCATGAGCATGTCCGTAGTTTCATGATTAATTAATGTATTGGGTTATTCACACCAAGCATAATTTGTTTACCATTTCAGTGTGCATTATCCTGGGACCAACAGCTCTCTGCTAGCTTTGGACACTGGAAAACCACTGTGGGCCTCAGAAGATGCTTCTCGCAGCCTATTTTTAGTAAGGACATGTAACATGTTTTGGCTTTGTAGTAGTGGGTATAATATGGAAACAGCAGATGAACACTGTTGACTTAATCTTTCAGAAATTGCTTGCGAAAAACGTTTGTCTTAAAACCATTCCATGTAAACAGGTCGGTTAGCGAAGTGGAGAGTTTGTGGAATTCCATTTGCTATATCATGGCAGTTTATATGATAAGGACATCCATATATGTTTTACGAACTGATGCAGATAACTTTGCATTGCGAAAATGCATCACTGCATCCTTACCCCGACAGGTTTATACTGGGTTTATACATAGTTTTTTATCCGTTCCATTTCCGACGAGTCAAATACTGTTCAAACGAATTTTCACCCCTTCTTTGAGAAAATAGACACCCTGAAAACTATTTATATTTGCGTAGTTATCCTTTGTAGATTTTGGTTTTACGGCTCTACGTGCTATCCTCGACGCCCATAGAATAGCTGGCGATACTGTCACTGTGGTACGTCAAGCAGTTGTAGTAGCATAACTATTTAATTATGTAAAATAGTATCCAGAGTTCCCCAAAAGGCTTGCATTGGGACGGTTTGTTCTGATTACAGAACAAGTGCGTTTGTTTACAACCAAGAAAATAGCGATATGCAAATTTGTCAGTGGCAGTGGCAGAAATGATATACTGCGCCGGATGTTTGAGGAAGCTTAGTTTATGACGACACTAATTATCCTTAAGTGTTACATAACGAAAAACACTTTCTGTTGTAGCGCTGGAATTTAAACTATGTCAACGGATTCATGACTGGGTAAGTACCTTTGTTGACATGTAAATTTTTGTTTGTCTAAATATCTTTCATAAATGTGTAAAAAGAAATAACGACCTTTAAAGAGTTGCTGCCATTTTGAACATGCGTTCATTGGTCACGTTTCCCTTGTATTCAGTTCATTTCATTCGTCTACGACTATCTGTGGTCATACATGCCACACCAATGTCCACCAAAGTTTAGCTATGTTCATGTACGTGTTTGAACGCTAGATATCGTTGCTATGTGATCTCTTTTGTCAGGCACATGCAATATCAATTTACCCACAACCGTATTTAAAACTACTCGCGCTAACCATTGTAAGATAATCTACACAGTACAGTAATATGGCCAGTACTGTCGGCGTTCTATGAGGGTCTTCCTCACCAAGGGGCTGGCTTCATGAACGCCTCAGAACCATGGAGCGGCTTCTACACAGTTCCAGTTGATGTGTATCTTGCAGGTAGGGAATGGTAACGAATAACAATAAAAATCCCAAAATAAGTAACCTAGTCAACAAGAAACATTGCAGAATTTGGCTACATGTGACTTACCATAACAATCGTAGAATGATTTGTTCGTAATAAATACATGTGTAGGATGTGCCTGCTACATCATCGAGAATATGTTTAAATGGAACCCATCCTTAACATCCTCATTCCATCAACAGTCAGGATTGTCCATCTTTCTGACCCTAACTTATTTTAAGAACAACTATTGTCACTGCATCTGTTTTCTCCGCTCATTCAATCTACTCGATTACACTTATATAAGTGTATATATAGCTCACAGTACCCAGTTCACGAGACCTGGTTGGACGTACTTGAGACACGGTTCCGGGGTCGGTAGATTCAGTAATGGCGGCATATACGTGTCTTTGGTCAGCCCGGATCAGAAGGACTTCACCATTGTCATTGAGACAGTTGTAAGTTATTGACAATTTTCATCAGTGAGTTCAAATGAACGTGGATACAGACAGTTGATTTTTTATCTCGGCACCGTTTTTTTAGAAGTGATCAGTTCATACACACATGTAAACTGCCATCAGCATGGGATAAAAATGATATTATGTTAATTCTTCACGTTTCCTTAATATAACCCTTAAAATAACAATGCTTAGATTTTATATGAACATAAACATACCAGCGCCTTGAGCATGCACTGGTTGCCTGGATATGTGCGCTATATAAATATCCGATAATAAAAAAAAACATGGTCACTTTTTGACAGTGAACTGGCAAATCATCTGGTATATCGGTAAATATCGAGAGTTGATTTATGATTTAATCGTTTACACGCATAAACTACATTCAAACCGGATCAAAATGCTAACAAGAGCAAAGTGTTTACGTATTTCTTTATTTAATAGCTTAATACAATCCTTGACATAGTATAAGCATATTATATACGTGGTACGTAACATGCTCATTTACAGAATGACAGCACTACTGGTATTCCAGCTGATTCAGAGAATGTCACCTTGCAGCTTCAAGGCAGCTTTGTGAGTGATTTGATACCATTTGAAAGAATACTTGACATGTATGTACGAGTGTTATATAACATTGGTAGAATTATCAGTCCTCCCATTATTGACCTATTCCTCACTGCATATCACCTTATGTATCTACAGAAAACTGTTCTATGTTCCAGGCTTCGATTACAACGCTGACTGTTTGGTTCACTCAGCTGAACATATATAATCTTTCAGACTCTTACGTCTTTGAGAAACAACCACCTATGCAGGTATGTATTGTGCAGAACATGGAGTGAATAATAATTCTTGCGCAGAAACCTGAATGCGGACTTTTCCTGTTTACAAATGTCCCTCTCAATATCTTCAACCTATCATTTGCAGGTCATAGATGGGAAGATAAACATGAACCTTGGCGTAAACCAGGTGTACACACTGACCACCCTGACGACAGGAGGCAAGGGCTCCTACCCTCCTCCTCCTTCGTCTAAGCCATTCCCTCTGCCATATATGGATGATTTTAATGGTCAGTAAACCCTTAATAACCAAATCCTTTAACCAAAGCATTTCTTGAGGTGTCAAATCAAACCATATAGATTTTACTTGAGCCACAATATGATTTGAAATGCCTCGTTTCTGAGACTTAAATCAGAAAAATAAAGAACCGAACAGTAAAAGATCAATGAATGCTTTTGCGCACAGTACCACGTGTCATTATATGATTGGTATATGCATTCTAGTAATCTGTACCAGGTTACAGTGAGTATGAGGAACCGTACATGATATCTCCTCAAACTGGAGCATATGAAGCCACGACAGTGGGTGGTGAACATGACAAGGTGATGAGGCAGGTGACCACACGGAGGCCGGTGTCCTGGTCCACTTGGTGTCCAATAGAACAGGCTGGAGTATCGCTGGCAGTGGTAGGCGAATATTACTGGTAAGTACTGCTTGAGAAAACGCAGTTCGAAACATATCTAAAGTACCATTTCTCTTTTGAACAAACAGAAACACACTGACACATATTGCCATACACTATCACATACTGTCACTCTGGTACTTAGTGCTACACTGGGCATCACACTAACACCCAGTTGTACACAGTGTCATATTAAACTGCTATTCCCTTCAGGTCTGAGACATACATCCAGTGCCAAGTGTCAATCAACTTGACGTCACCTGTCAGAGCCGAGGGCGTGTTCCTGGCCGCCAGAGTGGATCATGGAGGGTGTCACGCGGACAACAACACAGGGGTCTTCTTTTACTTCTACCCAGAGAACAAGACGTATCTGATCAGCTCTGATCTTGGTGAGAAGCGCCTGTGCATATCACCAATAATATATTTTTGTGATATGCTTGATCGAAGATTTTATTTTATTTCTATTGATATTTAATATGTAAGATCAAAGATCAGATTTCGCGTCGTCCATGGATATTCTTGCATTCTTTATCTAAGATTACCTTTTCATTACTGACCCCCCTCAACGGTAATGGGTGAAATCCATATCGCCGCATGGGAGGCCATAAAGCTGCATTTAGTACGCGTCAAAAAACACTACACATCTCGACGATACCAAGCCAGGAATTGGCAAATAATCTGTTGAATTAAAAGATGACTAACCGAGAAATCCGCGATCAAAACATGGGAGATCCAGACTGCATACACTCGTGCTTGGTTGATGTAGGAAGATACCAAGCCAGTTGTCGAAATTAACGAGAGATGCTATACACATCTACATGCTCTGCTTCCGTTACTTGCTTCAGATGACCAAATACTTATTACCTTTGTCTGTTGCAGAGAGGAAGCACGTCCTTACCAAAGGAATCATCAACAATGTTAACATATTAGAGTGGAATGTGATCGGCCTGTTTGTTCAGGTGAGGTTTATAGTATACAGCGGCAATGTTGTATGTAGATCTTTCACTTGTTCATTAATGTATGGTGGTTGTTTTATTGTTGTTTGTTGTTGTTGTTGCTCCTGAACTGGCTATTATAGTTTTTTTAAATATTGCGTTTGTTGTGAAACAAGCAATATCCATGACATATTTTACTTTGTACACATATCAAACAGGGTCTTCTGCCAACCACGTACCAAGGGTACCATGATACACACCTTTATTTCATATACTGAGAAAGTTACTTGATTCGTCTCATACAAGAGCTTTCTGAGAGTTAAGTTCTTGAGTATTACGGGGCTTGTTAAATTAAAACTGAAGGTTGCCAGCATAATGAAGCACTCATGTCGTCTCGGTACGCTGGCACTGTGGCCAGTTCACTATGTACAGCGGTACTGAGGATGGTACTGAGGTACTGATGGTAACCATTTGTAGACATAGATCCCCGGTTGTTTTCCTTGATATTGTTTTTTTTTCTCTTTTTTTGTAACAGGGGACGACAGCGGCGGCATTTGTCAATGGTGAAAGTCTTTTCCACGGAACACCAGTTCCTGCAACAATTAAGTCTGGATTTGCTGGTCTCGGAACGGCCAGTTTTGGAGAAGCTGACTTTGATAACTTTATGATTTCTCAACCTGAAGAAGGGATTAGAAGAATGAAAGAGTCATACAAGAAACAAAAGATATAAAAAATAGATATTTCATGCCCCTTATTGGTTCTCTGTACCGAAGGAACCACGGTTTTTTCAGTTTCTGTCCATATTCCTTACAAGGCATACAAATGACAGGAGACAGTTCCAGCTTAATTCTTTGTGAATTCAATAATAAAATAAATACGTGCTAACTTTACTGTTTTGTTGTCAGTCAGGGTAAGGTTAACGATGGCAAAATCATGTCACCGAGATACAGTTTATATTACAACAACCATGAGCGAAATTGGGGGATCTATTTTTCCACGAATTCTTCCGTCCATGTTTCCTATACCAGACCTTATTCACTGTAGTATTCGTCCTTACTCTCTTCTGTACCCTTCCGCGCTGCCTGGTGTACATATCATTATCCCTGTTGTATCCACCCTTAGTAACCTTGGTATCTTATTTTCTGTTTGTTGTTTAATTAGAAAGTTAGCATTCATCCAGAAATACGACGGCAATCTGTAACCAATCGATTCCAGGTCAGACAATCCATTAATTAACATCATGAGCAGAGATCAGTTCAGTTTGACGACACTGCGACAGTATGTTCTTGAAGACATTCGATGGTCTGAATGCATGTAACGCCGTATTCAACAGTCGTGCTGCTACAGAATAGTTCACAGAATGAGCAACGAGCTCTTCCTTTCGGGGAGATATAGCCCTCAGCAGAAGCAAAGTGACCCTTATGAAAAGTGCCATTGTACTGATTGTTGTCTTCCCAGGGGATGACTACGGGTGACTATAGTCACAATCTATCACGTCAGTTGTTGCAACTGCCAAGTCTGCATTTGCCGATCTAGTAGGAATTGTAGAAAGTTGTAATCAGTACCTATCCAAGCCATGACTCTTGAAGGCTGATCAAACAGAAAACAACCATATGCAAGTACATGTGGAGGATAGCAATAAAATGTGATGATTTAACCACCACTTCAATCGTTGGCTTCTGACCTCTATCCTTGATTAATTATAATCATTAACCTCACGGTTAATCTTTCTCGGGGCTCTTCTTCCTTGACGCCCTGTTAAAATCCTGTTTGAAGTAGATCTTCTGCTAACAGAATTAGGTATATCTGTTAACATAATTAGGTAAACCCGCTTGGTTACTATGGCATGCCATTAATATCTTTTGATTATAGAATAAAATAACTGGTAATTGTGAAGTTTTATTCAGACTCGTACATATATTGTACAAAGAAGTACGACTCTGGACATTTCAAGGAACTCATGTTCCAGAAGGACGTGTTATTTTCACATTGTCGAAATCCGCGTATCCCAGTGATCCAGTTCCTACAGCCACAAACCCTTGGTCCGGCTCAGCCGGGAGGTCAGAGTAGGTGAACACTGTTTTATTGTTGACCTTGCCCATCGCTGTTGTTCCCTGCAATATGTGGAAGACCACGGCACAGAAGGTAACATTCAACAGATAACATGGGACTTCCCACAGGTGTGGAACGTGTGATTACATTCCTGTCATAATTCTATGTGGTTATGGTTATCTTAGGTTAACCCTAAGATATGTTTCAACTGTAAAACGTTTTGTTTTGTTGTTTTTTAAAATGAAAATATCTTTACACAATAGCGGAATTTCGCCAATGTCCTTGTGATACTTTAATGTGGGTTTGCCAGCTGTTCGAACCTTATATCCAATTTACCACTTTATAGCAAAGATAAAGGGATATAGAGGGCACTGTATTAGTCTCGTCGTCATGACGTTGTACATAAAAAAAATGAATATCGGCAAGAAAAATATTTTACGGTCGGTAGCAGGATGCAAACAAAATTCGATGAAGCCATAGAATCAGATAAAAACCTCTATCCTCTATGTTCAAATGCCTTCACTCACTTTAAAAGTACATCCACGCTATTTGTAGACCACTGTAACGCTACATGTATGACACCTGGTGTCCGTGAAGCAGTGTTGGAATGTTTACACCGAGAAACAGATAAGTATGTTACTCCAGTTAAAAGCGAAGGTCAGTCGGTTCAGGGAAATGTCCTGTGGCCTCTAAGTCATATAATTAGATGAAAGACCAGAGTGCCCTAAACGTATCCATTCATTAATACGAGACACACTGAGAGAGTTTATCACATTTACCTGACCATGTAGAAGAAGCTGTTCAAGGTTCTTAAACTACAGCGATCACGTAGTGCCAACTAACACTTACCTCAACACTCAAGGATATGTTGTTCCAACCTTTGTTGACGCGCCCAACTCCACCGCCTTGTAATATGCTCTTTCGATCTGAAGTGAACGTCAAAGCAGTGATATCAGGTGAACGTTTGAAGAATACCATGTCAGTGGTACCAAGTCAAGACGTTGTTTATCGCGTAATTGACAATGAGGAGATACGACTACTGTGATCTGAACTTATTTAACAATATAAAATGAAAGGGAAAACTGCATCCACTAAGCATATATGAATTGACTGGCCCTCGTATATCGTTTACGAACTTTCTAAAGAGCACGTAAAGCACAACTGTCTAACATTCATCTTTCAAGATCAGTATCTGCAAATGAGGACCTTCACCCTTCAAATGGAACGGAGAAGGGGAACTCACCCAAAGTAGGGGCAAGTTGATAGGTGTTATCTTGAGGGTAGAAAAAGAAAAACACGCCCTGTGATGAGTTGGTTTTGCATCCTCTCTTTGAGACCCTGGCAGCAATGAAGACTCCTTTGGACGCATCCGTACCATCATCATACACATCAGCCTCCACGTAAATGTGCGTCCTGGAACACGTGTACACACAGCAAGGTGTGGTTTGACGGAATGTACATTGGTCCACATTTCTAAAGCATTTCAAAGATTTCATCTTCACCACAGACACCGAGTCTCAGTGGACATTACACAATCTGCCAATGAACAAAGGAGAGAGTGACCATCTGAGGTGGTTCTACGAAGTACTAAATGAATATATTACCACGACGTCCCCAGTGATAGGGTTGCTCCTCTGTTATACCAAGGATGTAATGGTTCATGCAACGGATTGGGGGTGGGGGTATGTGGTTGTCTGGATGTGTGATGTCCCATCCCTACCGCCAGTTATGAAGAGATTTATAGAAAAAGCGGATTTAAACGAAAACTCTTGCAAATAGTGAAAGTCAATGGAAATGCTATTATGTTGTTGTTGCTATTATTACTTATGAAGTTAAAATAGCTAACTGTGGATGAGCTAACTGCACGACTTATGCTATTGCTAATTTAACGGCTTCTTAGTTATGACGATTTATATTACTTTCTATAATTTCTACGTTTTAAGCAAACTACTTTAGAAAAATATTTACTATGCGGAAAGGCAGATCCGCATACGTCACATATATATTTTAGTAGATTTAAAACAACTTCAAAACCACATTTTCTGCTGACGTAAGCACCTGTAGATCGCGGGACAATTCGAGCCGACCACTGGAACGAACTGTAACTGTTAGATATTACGATGATAAATTAACTTGATCTTATAGCTACATAGACATATTTCTTGCACACAAGACGTATATGTAATAATAAATAATCATATTTTGAACAGTTATAAAAATGTGTAAACGATCTCGGAAAAGTTCTCGATCGTCTACGATTAAGGCTGACTATTACAGTACACGTGCGAATCGAAGAGCATTTCAACAGTTACCCTGCATGTAAAGATGTTTGTAAAAGCCCCAAAGAATCATAACTGTGTCGAAATGTATATCACAGGAGATTAATCTAATGTGTGCTTCGTGATATCATGTGTGCTGATGTTTGCAAGCGAAGTATTGTTTTATACACTGAGAATGTATCAGTTATTTATATATTTAGCTAATGTAACAATACGAGCGATTACTTCCAACAAAGGGAGACTCGACTGCAGTTAGCAAGTCTTAACTGGGTTCAAGACACTGATCACCCATTACAATAAGTTTCTTTTTGCTCTGAAATATTACTAAAACATTTCACGTTTCCGTCGTCAGTTCAATGAGATGTAAATACGTTTCATGCGTGTATTACCAGTTCGTATTTCCGATTATAGCTATCCCAGCTGCAGTCTGGTTACAAAAGGGTATGGTCATCCTCAGGGTCATCTGGCGCATCACCTGACCATGGCTTCCCCCAGCTTGGTGAACTTCAAATGATCCGATCTCCTGTGCAAATAGATATGGCTCCTCGTCTATTCTGTAACCTGACAACACGGAAATAACTTCAATGGTAAAACGTTCAATGTACACAGTGAATAAATATGGGATTGACACAGCCAAAAGACCAGCTTTTAACCGTGCAAATAGATATGGCTCCTCGTCTATTCTGTAACCTGACAACACAAAGCCAACTTACTATTATTTTTCTTCAAATGCAATAATTGTTTGAATATGTGCGATGAATAGATCTTCGTTACAATTTTGGCAGCCCGGCCTTAGCGTGTTACGGGTACGGCGAAAAAATAGATGATTATACTAGCTCTGGCAACGCTATAAAGATATTCCTTAGTAGACTTAATCCAAGCAGACATTATATCAATTCTGGCAGTCTGGTTCTCACAATTTGCTGTTTTTAGGACAAGCAAAAAAAAGGCCACTTTGGATATGGCCTGACCTCCTATCGGAAGGATCGCTGCAGAGTACAGAAAGAATGTGAAGTATGCGGTTACCAGTCACTATATATGTCAGAGGAAATTCTACAATCTATCAGATCTTACTTTCGAAGTCCTGTGTGTACGGCAATGGGAAGGGTTTAGATGGAGGAGGTGTTGGGTGTTGTCCCTTCCGGCCGTGGCCGAGAGTGGTCAGAGTGAGAAGCTGGTTCACGCCGAGGTACACGTCCAAATGGTTGTTCTCAACCTTCAAGAAGAACCCCTTCACAGTCATACCTGTACATACACCTTTTTAACACCATATAACATTTCACATTTATACATGTGCATTGTGTTCATGCAGGTGTTGGTTTTTAGGCATGAAGGAATTTCAAACATTTCCCGAGAGCAAGTGCTATTTTAACTAAGCAGAGTGGGTCATTGCATTTTAGTCAACAATATTAAAGCCTCGTTAGGGACACGGGGAAAAAGTACATGCTCATTGGTCACAAAATATACATTGGTTAACGACCTATATAACGCTTCATGGGCCAACATACCACACTTGTTCTCACTTGTATCAGCGTGCACAGCACTTGTACAGCAAAGTG